TTCGAGCGGTGCTGATGTTCGAGCGGTGCTGATGTTCGAGCGGTGCTGATTTTCTGGTGCTGATTTTCGAGTTCGAGTGGTGCTGATTTTCTGGCGCTGATTTTCGCAGAGCGACGCGAGGATTTATTTCTTTTTGGCAAGTGGGGCGACGCGTTTGTTTGTTTATGTGGGCAACGCGCTGATTCGCCAGATCACTCGGCCCACCCGTCGAGGTATAAAGCTGGGCCTCCTCCCCTCCCTCTCTCCCTGTCTTTCTCTCTTCTTCGTCAGATCGATTGATTGCTGGCTACGTGTTTCAGGACTGCGACTTCACTACACAATTTTCACCGCTCAATTTTAACACTGCTCACACGATGGCTTCCATTCTGGATCTGGTCATCATGGTTTTGGCTGCCGCCATGACTGCGATGCTTTTTCCAGCGTCGTTGCTTCTTTGCTCTCGTATTTGCTATTCCTGACCGTGTCCCACGCGATGTTTGCGTGCTGCTTACATTGCAATTTAACCAGTCTATCTCGCCGTTACATATGCGTTTTGTTTGGTCTCTGTCTGGATCCGCCCCCTTCTGGACTACATCTTTACGCACTTTGCAGGCTGGATCCGTCCCCCTCCGGCTAGGAAGCCGCCAGCTAAGAAGGCCAGGTTCGCGCGACCATCGGTGCACGTAGGCCACCCGACTTGGCTGAGGACCTCCGACAATCCCAAGTTCGCCCGCCCGACAATTATCGTGGCGAACTCCACGTATGAGCAGGTCATCGTGGACATGGAGAGGCTCACCAGTCGTCATGTGAAGATAAGTGGTCCCGCTAATCTGGCTAATCAGGCTGTAGTTACCGGACAAGCCTCCCAGTGTTCTGGCAAGTGGCTCGAGCTGCGTAGGCCAGTCGCGGGACTCGGCGCGGTAGCTATGCTTGTCACAGTGGCGAGCGACCTATTCGCCCTTAGCCGGATCGGTTTTGTCGGCACGTGGCTTGGTCTCAAGCTGCGTAGCCTGATTCACCGAATCGGATATTTGGGTTTTGAACTGCTTCTCTCGGCGGTCGATGTTTGGTGAGTCTCCTCGAGGCCGCTCTTGTGTGTTTTGGCCGGGTACTGTTGTCACTGTGCCGCAGGCGACTCCACGGATCGGGCCTTGAGCTACCGTAACAGCGTCGTCAGTGATGATTCAATCAGCCTTAGCCAGATCGGTGTGTCGGCACGTGGCTTGTCATACGCGTCTGTCATCAAGCTGCGTCGCCTGATTCACCGGTTCGGATGTAGAGGGCTCGAACTTGTCCGGTCGGCGATTGATGTCTTGTTGAGTGCCGTTGAAGTCCTTTTCGTATGGATCGGCAGGGTACTGTTGTCTCAGTTCCAGGTCGATCGCACGGATCGGACCGCGCGAGCTACCACTGCACAGTCGTCGATCGGGTCTGAGTAGGCGTGGATGGCATGGCAGCGGCAGGGTATGGATGAGTAGCGGGGTTTTGTTGTGTTCTGTTCGCGTTCTGTTGTGCTTTGCTGTGTGCCTGTTTTTGTGTTTTGTTTGCATGTTTGTGTGGAGAAGCTGGCAACTGGTGGATTCGCAGCTGAGATACTGCCCATCAGTTGATCTGGCTCCAGGTTTTACTCAGTTTTCCTGGAAGCAACCACGGTCGGACGTGGTCCCGAATGGGCAGATCTGTCTCAAGTCAGGACAGCTAGTTTTCTCAATTGACTTTGTGTTTTGTGTGCGCTACTCTGCTCTTCGACTTTGCGCTGCTTGTGATGTGATTGTTGTCTTTGTAGATGGCTCTGTAATCTTGGTGCTCCGTCCTGATCTTGTAAAGCCCAGCAACTCGCGTATCTGTGGTACTTCGTGTCTCTCCCACCCAACTCGATTCCCATTTTCGGCGTCGGCAAGCTAGATGTCTTCCTGTGGTCTTGCCGAGTTCAAAGAGTCGACAGTCCATGTTGACATGGTAGCCAAGTTCGTTGTATAATACAATGTCTCTCTGGGCTTATTCCCTCTGTACCTCAAGTATTCAGACCATTGCCAAAGTGAAATTGAAGCATCTAGCTAAGGTAAGGTAGTTATGTTTCTGCACCGTGGATCCCTCAACTCCTAAGCTGCGCGTCGCATGGAGTGCATCTTTCACATACAGGATTCGAATTCGATTCGTCTGAACTCGGTTCATTTCGCTTATGTGGAGCATATCTTACAATTCCTTGCCAGCCTTCCTGATTATCAGTGTCTGCCAACCTGCCACGCCGTCTTCCTCCTAGGTATCCTGCCCTCCCGCCCCTACAATCTCTTTTGGACTGGGCGACAGTGTTGTCGTTGTCCGTCCTACAGATACACGAGCGGGTTCGTAGCCTAGTCGTGGGATCTCAACTGGATGGTTAACGGTCCAATTTGTGGAGTCGTAGGCTTCTAGGAAGAATCGAACCAGGACGCTCAGCCAGGAAGCTCAGTGATTGCCCGTGGTACGGGACTGCTCTATTGGTACCACTTGACTACTTCACCCTGCCCGGTGGGGGTTAGAAGTAGGAAGATGGACTTGACCTATACACCCGTTAGCACATCGTGGACACGAATGTCCAATACCCACAGATGCGGAGGTATATTACCACGTCGAAATTTCTGGTTGTCGGAGCATCGCAGCCAAGTTGGATGTGTAATATGAACAGAGGGTCGAGAAAACTTTAGCCTGCCGACCGCTTGGCTCCTGTTAAAATTTGCCGGACGAGGTCGAATCCGAGCAGATAAAAGAGAGATGAAGAAAAGAGCGATCCGGTAAACTGAGCAGACATGTGTAGTATTCAGTAAGCATTGCGATGGATGCAAGTATCACGTATAAGAAAGCGCGATGACCAGCGCAGGGAAGGTAAGAAGCGGCACAGCCCAAGCCATGAGCGCGAGAAGTCAAGAGCCGAAGCCATGGTGAGCGCAAGAGAAAGCAGATGCTATTGTGAATTGAAAGTCGCAGTAAAACTAGCCAAAAGTCGCGAAAGCTGATCGATCGATCTGACTAGAATCAGAAAGACGAAAAGCGAGGGAGGTGAGGATTGAAGACGAGGTGTCTAACCTCGTCTAGACTTGAAGGCGAGATATTTAAGGCCGTATAGGTGAGGAATCGAAGCAACACGGTCACAGCTACCGTACAGCCATGACCGCAGCCATGACCGTGAAGAGCAGATCGCATCCGGGCAGTTACCTTGACCCCGCGGTTTCGAGCAGGGCGAGCCAGGCGGTCCATGTCGAATACGAGTTGCTCGTATCGTGAGTTCGCCACGATAACTGTCGGCCGATCAAACTTCGGGTTGTCGGAAGTCCGCAACCACGAAGAATGAGCGACGTGGACAGATGGTCTGTGAACCTCGCTAGGAGGGACCCCGGGACGAGCATCACTGTCACAGCTGCAGCGATGACCGCAGCTATAACCGTGAACAACACGTCGAGTGGTGAATGCATGTTGTAGAACCGCAGAAGTGAATTTGCAGAAGTCGCAGTAAAAAGCCTGGAAACGCCAATCGATCGATCTGACGAGGAAGAGGGAAAGAGAGGGAGGTGAGGATTGAAGACGAGGTGTCCAGGCTTGAAGGGGAGATATTTAAGGCCGTACAGGTGAGGAATCGAACCCGGGGCCCTTCCACTTTGCGACGAGCATTGGGTGGGAACGGGAAGGTAGGTTTTACCGCTTGGCCACTTCACTGGAACCCGTGGGGGGTGATGATAGGAAGGTACTGCCTCTATTCAGAAGTATGAACAACCCGACTACTTCACTGGAACCCCTGCCGTGCCGGTAGGCTCGGAACTTCGGAAGGGGGCCTTGACTTGCGAGCCCAGTGCACTTGCTCTGGATGCGTCGGGTGACCTTTGCTAAGGAACCTTGAGGTGCTGCTTTCCATTAGATGTTGCTATCTACCGTATTACCTGCTACTGCCATTCTTTCCCGTGGGCCAGCAGCTTCCCAGACATCCGATACACCGTACGTACCTACCTAGCGGTATGGAAACCAGAATATATGAAGATGAGGTGCCCCTTGAGTTGAACCGTCTCTGGAAGCAAGACCGGCCTCAGTCCTGTCTTTCGTTCTGAGCACGATGCTCATTGCTAATGCTCTCTCAGTCCTCCATACAAACGAAGACCATCTAGAGGGAGGTGCGTCAGGGGTGTATGTATGTACCTGTAGATGTGTGCTTGCATTCAGCAAACACCAGAGAGAGCAATGAAAGTAACTATCTCAGTGAACGGAACCTCCTTTTCTGGTGAAGTTGCTTCATTTGCCTGTTGTCTACACCACCCGAAAACGTCAGGATGTTGTGCTTGCTGCCAACGGCAATCGGATGTTGGGATTTGGCTCGGCCTCGAGGCACGTGCGTCCAAGTCATCGGTACTGTACGCCGTTCTGCGCCGCTCCAGGGATCAGAAAAACTGGCCAACAATGTTCTCTGAAACTGGTAGACAAAAATATAGATTTCAAGGTCATAAAAACCACGTCGAAAACTGATCCGTGTCTCTCAATATCTTCTCCTGTGCTGTCACGAACTGAGGTGCCCAGCAGTCGGCTTGCTCCGAGTCGGCGAGTCGCTTATGCAGGAACCGGGTGCCGAAATCCGACCCGTGCACGTTTTCCAATTTCGTCGTTCTTTGACGTTGCTTTGATGCGACAGCAAGCACGCGCTTCCGAGTACCGAAATTCCCAGGTCTCGACCCGACTGTGAGGTCGCAATATCGAAATTCGAGTCATCAGCCCGCTGCCCACAGATCCAAATCCCACCCATCATCAGCAAGCTGTGTTGCCAGCGGCAGGATGGCGCTCCATAGCCCGAGACTGGCTGGCGGGCCGACTCTGCTCGGCATGCCCCTCAAACAGGCATCACTGATCACGGTACGTGCTTGCTCGAGGCCAGGGAGGAGACGCGATCAGCTTGCGAGACGCTAACACGGCCCGGCATAGTTGACATTTCAGAACTCGGCCCTCATTCTAGTATGCGCCGGTGATCTCGAACTCGATCTGCGGTCCGCAGACGTCACTAACACCCGAGCACGCAGATTATGCACTACTCTCGAATCATGACCCCTCCGGGAGACCATCGCTATTTCGCATCGACCGCCGTGTTGTTAAACGAGATTCTGAAGCTTGCCATCTCCCTCACCTTTGCCATATACGAGTCTTCGAGAAGCCTGGCGCCCCAGACGCCGGTCACGGTACTGTTGGAGCAGATCTACAACTCTGTGTTCTCGGGGGACAGCTGGAAATTGGCAATCCCGGCGGTTCTATACACATTGGAAAACACGCTGCAGTACGTGGCGCTGAGCAATCTGGACGCAGTACATTTCCAGCTTCTTTACCAGTTGAAGGTACTGTACAGCTCCTTCGTTGATCTCCGCAGTGGCGGTTCTTCGCAGGTTGTGGTTGTTAGGTCCCCGCTGACTTTGGCGTTGTAGATCATTACCACCGCGTTCTTCATGGTTGTTCTGCTTGGTCGCACGCTCGGGATCAGGCGCTGGACGTCTCTCGTTGGGCTCACCATCGGCGTCTGGATCGTCTCTCTCCCCCTGTCCGGCGACAAGAGACTGTCACTGGATATCCATGACTTTTCCGACCACTTCTTCCCGCGGTCCGTACACGAGCTGGGCCAGATCGCTGGTGGCATGGCAGAGGCGGCTCGCGAGTTGACGAAGCGAGCCGTCAGCGGCCTCGCTGGGGAGCTGACGAAGCGGTCAGCGACATATCAGGGCATTGTGGAGGATCAAGACACGGCACCAAAAATGAACTACTCGATTGGCCTTGCCGCTGTCCTGGTCGCGGCAGTCCTCTCTGGGCTGACAGGGGTTTACTTTGAGAAGCTGCTCAAGGACTCAACGTCCTCCGCTTCGGTCTGGATAAGGAACATCCAGCTCTCCTTCTATTCGCTGTTTCCGGCGCTCATCATTGGCGTTATTGCCACTGATGGAAAGGAAATTGCAAAGCACGGTTTCTTCGACGGATACAACAGCATAGTGTGGACAGCCATTGTCTTCCAAGCCATTGGCGGGGTTCTCAGCTCCCTGTGCATCAACTACGCTGACAACATCGCCAAGAACTTTGCGACAAGCATCAGTATCATCATCAGCTTTGTGTTCAGCGTGTTCTTTTTCCAATTGAAGGTTACAGCCTCGGTGCGTGTCCATCATCCTAGCAGGACCCCCATCCCACCTACTTACCTCTGTCATAGTTCGTCCTTGGCACCGTTCTCATTCTCGGTTCGACATACTTGTACAGCCTACCGGAACGGAGGCGTGCTCGGCCTCCACCGATCCACATTGCTAGCTACGAGAAGACCACGATTGAAGGAACCCCGCGGTACGTTGACCAGAATAAGCTGAGCGTCAACCCCCTGGATTCCGCTCGCGCGGGGCTCTCCTCTTCCAGGCCAGCTTCTCCGCTCCTATTCCACGGCCGGGCGCCATCCACGAGAGGGAAAAAGGCGGAAGACTGAGATTTCTGCTTCGTTGCGGATTACGATGTGTAATGAGAACTGCATTATGGCGGGGAAGATGGGCATGGGTTAAGGGCATGGCGACGGGGAGAAGTTTAGCGGCGAACTCATACATGGCGGTTTGGAGCATAGCAGCCCCCGGTTCCGGGGTTGGCAAGGAAGGGCTGAAAGGGAGACGGCTGCGCAAGCACATCTGGTTGGTTTGGGATAGATGGCCGAGCAGGCACCATAGCCCTTACATCTTGTACATACATACATATACGCTTACGAAGTATTCATGACGATCATTGCTACTACCATCCTCAACGGACGTCCCCCCGACCCTTTAGCTACTACCGGAGATATCTTGGCCATGATATGTAAGGGGCTGGGATCCTCGGCACTCTCCGGGGACCGGTCCGTGCGGCCAAAGGGAGGGATGGATCAAGGGGTCAAATTGTGGCGTTCAAGGTTCTGCTCGTTGGGGAGCCTGAGCGGTCGGTAGACGGTCCTAAGCAAGGGAGTTCAACATTCATGTAGGGTAACTAACGTTACTCGACCTCGGCGCCGAAAGGTCAATGCATAACCAGGCCCGAGGCCAGAGAGGAGCCAACGCTGTTTGTTCGGTCTGCCCAATAGTTGGGCCAACACGGCGGTGTGTTGTATATCTAGAAAACGGCTAGGTGACGCCTCAAAGTTGCCGGACGCCGAGCTGGTTTTGTCTTTCCGCCCTCTCGAACCGTGCCACAGTCTAGCAGCTCGACCAGTACCTTCGTATGTCAAATCGGCGTAACCGTGGGCACGGGACCCTTTGCCAAGTCCGGCATTTCTGGATCGCCCAGATGTAAGAAATTGAGCAGTGGATTAGCCTCCAGCTTGGGGATTCGGCGAGGGCTGCTCCGGACGATGCCGCGAGCCACCAGGTTGTATCGCAGATCATTCGGCAATTTTTCGTTTTTAGTGCAGTGCGGTAACGCTGATCTCCAGCAATTGTGTTGATGGTTGCGAAATGCGGATGGCCAGACGTGTGCACAGTGTGCAGGCAACGAGCGAGGGATGTCGGCTTGAGATCGCTGTGGGAGATACGGCGGCGCAAATCATCGGGATGACGCCGAGACCCGCCGAAGCGGGAGATGTATGTAAAAATTTCGGGTCCATCACTCCGGGAAAATGTCAAGAATTTCTGTTCTGGCAATACACGTACATACAGTAACGTTACAGGCATTTTGGAGCATCTGCCGCGTCTCCCTTGAGGCCCTTGGCAGGCAGGCCTGAGAATGGAAGGAACAACGATCACTTTTGGCCCTGACTTTGACGTTAGGCCGCATGTTTCAGCGATGCAACAGCCAGAATTTACGCCAGCTACCTGAGAAGCTGAACCAATTTGCCCGGGTCGCCGATCTACCAAAGGACTTCGTTCACGGTTCACCTGACTCATGGTAGGGAATCTTTGGGTGTGGTTTCATCCCGTTTCCATCCCCTCCCCTGCTTGGGCCGCTGTGGTGATCGCTCATTCATCTCAATTGTCAACCAGGGTCAAGAGATTGTTGGCGATCATCCAGATGAGATTGCTTCTCTCCGCAAAATGCCACATGCTGGGACGACCAGGGATATTCTCGTCAATTTCCTCGTGTCCGTTCCCGTTGGCAAAAAAGGCCCATTTTCTGAATCATGACGAAAAACCCCCGAGCGGCCCTTTTAGGACCTCTTTCTTTTTCCACGGGATGTACAACTAGGGGGAAAAAGGAAAAGAAGAAGAATAAGAAGCAGAAAAGCAGCAGAATGGAAAAATAAGAATCGGGAAAACTAGGTGAGTTGCATCGGGCTGAGCCTCGTGGTCTTTGTCGTGCAGTGCTTTTCCTCCATCATACCACCTTGGCCCCAATATGGCTCGCAGGGACTCAGCAAGGGGGTTGCATCCCATGCAGGAAATCGACAGGGATGGGAATGCCAACGCCATTTCTGCATCCATGCTCCAGGAAGGGAGAGGATGGCCCGTGTGCCAATTGCGCTCTGTCGCATTGCTACGGGCGATCCTTCTTAAGCACACTGCAGCCGAGGGTTTGTTTCTGGTTCCGCGATGTCGAACTCGCATCCATTGACATCCCAATTGTTCCCCTCCCGTTTGAGACCTCGTTTGCGCTGTTGTCGTCGACCCGGCAGATCCCTCTGAGCAAGGTCGCTGTCGGTTGTCAAATTGCCCGATCGTGAGAAGCATAGGGCGGTGGGGCAATTGGGAACCATCAGGGATCTTACTGATTGTCTATGCAGGGGCTTTCCCGGCCTGCACATGCCGCGGCTTGGACAGAAGTGCGTTTGTCTGAACTTCTCCGCTGGCTCCAGCTGAACATAAAGACGCGCGATCCCGCCTCTCGTGTCTGCGCGCTGCCGGGCGGTCCCTTGCTCGGGGAAATGACCATACGGCCGGGTGCTGGCGGAACTCGGATGTGGCCTGTTTGAGGCGCAGACGGAAATCCTTTTCACCTGTTCGATGCTCGGTTGTTAAGAACGAGATCTTTCTCACCATCACCTTCTCGACAACGCCCGCCGTCCCCATGACCCGCCGGCGTTGACTCGAATACCCGGCAAACACTGAATTTCGACCGCGAGACGCGACCCGGGAGTTGGAATCCGCCAAGGTCGGCTCGCCATGGGCCATTCGTCGAAATTCGTGTTTCCCCTGCCGGGCCGGAAGCAGAAGCCAGCGTCGACAGCTCCCTTGCCGATATCAGGGCCGCTGCTGACCAAGGCGCAGAAGGTCCTTGGAGCCAGCGAGATTCAGATCGACTCGGTTGGCCCCCCTACCGACTCTCGCTGGGCGTGGGAGGCTCAATCCAACTCCGGTATCAGCGTCTCGGTCTCTGAGACAACAGCAGGCCGTACAAATGAGGGCGTCGGCCCGAGCTCTGCGCATGACGGATGGGTTGGCTCCAAGATGCAGCGGGAGAGGCAGTGGGAGGCTGATTCGGACGTTATACCACCTGCTCTTAACAGGCAACCGGATATTGCTGCATCCATGGTCTACGATGTTGCCACAGATGCTTCGAGCCTCCGTCGGCGCCAGTCCAGCTCGACTATCACGTCATACTACGACAAGTCGAAACTCCCCCTCTCAATATCACAGCAGACTTCCAACTCAGCCATGGCAAAGGGACTCCCCTCCAAAGCCTACGCATTACTCGACCCTGATGGCGAGTTAGCACCCGAACCCAGGGGCATGAAGAAAAAGAAGCCCTCTCGGCTCGATCTGTCTTCGTTGCTGCAAAAGCACAGATCCCCAATGTTCCTCAGCCCTGAGCCGCCTAGAGAACACCTTCTCGGATCCGACATGTTGACGAAATCACCCTCCATTATGTCTGTTTCATCGGCCCAGAGTCCGCCACCAATCCTGCAGCGTGTGGATCGGAAAATCAGGAAGAAAAAGACACGCGAATCACTTGTTGAGCACCCGGTGCGACCTTCCTCGCCTCATGGCGTCGCCGGCAGGTCCGAGAACGGCCAGCGGAAGCAGCCCACCAAGGCAGACGTTGACTTGCACAATCTCTACGACCATTATGAGCAGAGAACGTTCGCCGATGCCATAAACCGGGAGCTGCACGAAAACGACGACTACCGTCTCGAGCGGCCGGCTCTGGACCAGCAGCTTCCAGGTTACCCTACACCGCCCGCCAGTCATTCCGGGAAGACCTACCTGTCCCCTTTCCCCACCAACGGGGCTCGAGTGGGACACTCAGCTAAACAGTCATTGACACCGGGAAAACTCACCGAGGCAACATTGAAGGGGGCCGCATGTGCATCCAGTCCAGCCTCTTTGCCTGCTGACTGTGCCAGCGTCTCGAGTAGACATACTAGGACGTCAAAGGCGTCGAAGCGGACGGACCGCAGCCTCACCGATATTGACTTGCTTCAGAATAGCGTGCTGGCTCTATCGTCTGACTCGGAAGATGACTGCGAGCTCTCCTCCAAAGGCTCGCTTGTGGTCCCCCAGCTCAGCGACGAGCAAGCCAGCCCTACCAGCTCCCATGTTACATCACAGCGTGCGGAACGGCAAGACGGCAACAGGAGCAAGCCGGTAAAGCGTGCCAGCTTTGCAGAGAGTCCCCAGTTCTTTCCTGCCGAAGATGCAGGAACAAAACCACCCAAGATCAGCGCACGGTCAAGCTCGTTGAACTCCAAATCATCCTCGAAGCAGGTCCAAACTTTGACTCAGACGGCATCACTGTTGTCAGTTGGGAGTTCGTCGACTGAGCGCTCAACCTCGCGTGTTTCTTCACAGAGCTTGAGCCCCCAGACAGGCGTTGCAGCGAAGAAGGGATCGGGACCCAAACGAGGTGACAAGTCAACCAGGGCGACGGCAGTCGAGGCCGAGTTAAACTTCCCAGTACCACCACTGCACCGTTCTCAGCAACCGTTGTCGCGCGGGCCGGAGCAGTCACCGCCTGTTACGCCCAGCAGCTTGGATCTGTACCTGCAAAGTCATCGGTCCGCCGTGGGGCACGAGGTTGGATCAATCCACAGCGGCGCAAGCATAGGAAGTGCGATATTGGCAGGCCGACGTGGGAGCACTGCCAGCAGCATCAACGATGGCAGCAGTGGGCGGTTTATGGCGGTAACACGGCAGGAAGAAATGCTGCTTGCTGCTCTCCGGATGAAGCGCGCTAGGATGCGCGAGGACATCATTGCCGAATTCGAGGAGGAGATAGAGAGGGAGGAGCACCAACTCAGTCGCGAAATGACGAATGACAGCATTTCTACAAACGGCGGCATGTCGCGGCAATCTTCCAGGAGCACGATGCGGCTAGAGACTGGGGCTCTGAGTGCTCGTCCGCGTCAGAAGGGGACGAGGGAAACTAGCAATAAGGGGCACGAGGCCCTGGCAGCAGGCAAGACCGAGATTGGTTCGGGCCTCGACCATTTCCTCCGTTACGGTGACAGCGTGGACCTCGAAGCGGGTCCAAACAAGGGCGGCATACCCGACGTAGCCCATGTCCCAAATTTGACGGGAGCGAGACAAAGAGCATCCCTGACAGCGACGACGAGGTCGCACAGCAAGTCTCGACGAGGCGACCGGAACATCCCTCGACGCGGGTCCGGAGATGGCAGTCCTAAGGGGCAAAAGGGCCATCCTCACCAAATCTTGGAGGATCCGGCCGAAGACGACGAAGCAGGGGTCCCGCGGCCGGACTCACCCATCTCTCCGATGGACTTTCCGGCACCGGCGTCGATCACAAACAAGAAGCAAGTGAGGCTGAGCGCCGTGGGCTACTACAAGCCCAACATTGAGGCGGGTTGGTGGGGTGATTCTGGCTAAGGGAACCACACAAGTTGGAGAGGATAGCAGACGACACACAGTTTCACACTTCTTTTCCTTGAACTACACAAAAGCGCGGCGGACCGAACGCATAATGGGAGGCAGCAAGTCTTGGGCGCAACACACGCAGCGAATCGCATTTCCTTATTGGTGGCTGGGGGGTGTAATACGGCGGGCGGCAGTAAATTTCGGATGGAAAGCAGGCACGGGGTGGTCGACGATCTGATGACGGGATGGGGTCAGCTCTTGCACTTGCACTCTCTTCTCCCCGCCCGGTCGCAGGTCGACACGGGAGTAATTGTGGCTCAACGACCAGAAGCCTGTATCCTTGTAATCGGGCGACCCCGATGATGAAACTTCCTAGTAGCATGCAGATACCAATACATCTCTAATCACTCTGGCTGGCGGCGGCTGACTGAGAAGTGACGGGTTGCTGAGGGGTACAGCGGGCAGTAACGTCCTATTCTAGTTCGCAAGTTGCCATCCTCAGCATTCCGCAACCAAGCAAGAACTAATTTAGATATGACCAAGTCTCGTCGCACAGAACAAGACGCCCGTACGGAGGAGTTCACAGGGGGATCGAAAGCACCATGGACTCGGCCTCATCCCTTCCACACCACTGCATCACCCCATCCTCCCCTGTCTCAGACTCTCCTGCCTTGCAAGCTCCTCCCGGAACACATTCCTCCCCCTTCCCTCGCCGCCCGCCGCACTCCTCGCCGTATAGGTAGGCGACCAGCTGTCTCGGTCCGTGAGTTCCACCCCACCAACATCCGTCTCGGATTTATTATCCCCCGGCAACGCCGCCCCGGTTCCCATCCGCTCGGCCCGGCTCTGCCGCACACCATACCCCGCTCCACCACCGCCTCCAATACCACCGCCAACGGTTGGTCGCCGTTTGCGAAGGGTGCTGAGCAGCGGGATTGTGCCGTGCCGTCGATATGAGAGGAAACAGAGCCCGCTGAAGAGGAGGAGGATGGTGATGACGACTACGGGGACGGCGATGGCTACTATTGTGTTGGTTGGTGTCCCGCCTGATCCGGACGGGCCCATGCCGGTTGGTGAGGAGGAGGGGGTTAGGTAAACGGTGGGTCCACCGTATGTTCGGATGTCGTTGCCCTCGGGTGTGGACGTGTCGTTTTGCACGAGGGTGAAGGTCAGGTTGAGCTGTTCTGCGGTGCGGGAAGAGAGGAAGTCGGATGGGATGGACCAGGCGTAGAAACCCTGGCTTGCGGGGAACGGGCCGGCGATGGTCAGGCCTACGGAGGATGGGGGGAAGGTGGCTTGGAGAGCGAGCGGTGTGGAGGCGGGGGAGAAGTAAGAGGGTGACCAGGTTACTGCCGTTGGGAACATGCTTGGTTAGTGACAGTACCGGAACCCGGCGAGTGGTGATGTTGAGGTATGGGCTTACTGTAGTACGTCCGTCCCGGGTACAACACACTCCCACTTTTCGGCAGACAGAACGGCTCGTCAGGCCCGACGTTGTTGGCGTTGCCGCACGCAAGGAACACGCCATCGGCCGCGCTGCCTGTTGCTGAGGCTACTGGGGCCAGGCCGGTGTAGGTGGATGCTGGGCGGCCGGGTGGGGAGAGGGTGTAGGTTGCGGTGGATAGCAGGCTGGCGGGGGCTTCCTGGACGGTTGTGCGCTGCCCTTCGGTTGTGAAGACGACTGGCGTCACGGTTGAGGCTCCGCCGGAGGGGTCAACGGTTACCCATGGCACGGCCGCCGCGGGGACGGTGGTGCCCGCTTGCGGCAGGGCGAGGGCGTAGTGGAAGTGGAATTGGAATTGGAGTTGGAAGAGGGCGGTCGCTGCTGCGGCGAGCTGCCGGAGGGTTTTGGTTGTTCCCATTATGCTGTCGTTGGTTTCGTGCTGGACCGCAGACTGGAGGTGTCGTCAGAGAGGATGACGGCTGGCTGGGAGCAGCTTGTACTTGACACGGCGGTCTTTTGGTCGCCGGCTAATGCCACCGGTTGCATAACACCACAACTGAGGCGGGTGATCAGCCCTGATGCGGAAAGGAAGATCGGTGATTTCCCGGTATCACCGGGCCAGGACGACAACAGTACGGGTAGGTATGGGTTTTGTGTCAATCCAGAGCGGGTCACAACGGAACTATTCTGCCCGGCACCGTCACACTACCGGGCTAACAAGGCTATTTGACAGACGGCCGTCACCGACCTTTCCTGGAGACCGATGGTACTGTCCATGGATGTGTCCCTTTGTGGTCAGCATCTACAAAGCCGATGGCTGGGCCAAGAACTGCCCCTCCTTTCTCGTCCTTTCGGACCCCCACCCTCGCCCTGCCGTTCTGGGCTCACAATAGACAGCGTCCCAAGCTTTCCGCTTTTGCAGTCCATGGATGTCAGGCTTGGGTGGGATTCGGCATACAGTGGGTGGGCGGGGCTTGCAGCTGTCCTCCCTCCATTGGTAACCCAGCGCAACCCCCCTTAACTAAAATGTCATGATGCCTGCAGGGTTGATTGGTCGGTGGCCAAGCCTGCTGTGAGCTGATTTTGCGGGGAAGCGGCAGGGTTGCGTTCAACGTTGACCTGGTGCAGCATGCGGACCAGCTTTTGACATGCCTTTACGGAACTTATTGACACGATGGTGGGAGGATGGGGATGGTGGATGGCGAGTTCGCCCAGCGTCTGCGCGAACCAAGAATGACATGCTGCGAGATGCTTCCCTCTGCGGTCTCGGGTCCCAGGACACTGCGGGAACTTTATCTGAGCTGACTTAGGGTATCCTCCGACCCTAACACGACAGGACAGCGTACACTTGCTCGTTACCAGTCTCTCGGGTTCACCAAGCAGCTCAATATTAAGCCGCTGGCCCACACCCCTGAACACTACCCGTGGTCAAGTCACACCAGGTTGCGCAGCTCTTGATCTTCTTGCGAGAACAAACATATTCCAGCTGCGTATCATATCCGCCAGCGTATCGCCATGCGGAGCTGCGTGGCCAACTCTGCTCTCGCGGCCGGCTTGTACTATGCCGCTGCTGCCGCCGCCCAGGGCACGGCATGCTCACAGGTCATTGTTCCATCCTACTCGGCCCCTGTTGTGGCCAGCGGATGGCAGGCGCAGCTTGTTGCAGGCGGCTTGACAAAGCCGCGGAGCATGCAGTTTGACAGCACCGGCGCTCTGTTGGTCGTCGAGAGCGGAAAGGGTATTTCCCGGCACAGGTTCACCGACAACGGCGGCACCTGTCTGGCGTCTAACCACTCACACATGATTGTTGAACTGCCAGAGGTAAGCCGTGTCTGGAAAAGGGAAGTAATTGTACAGATTTGCTGACTTGTCTAGCTTAACCACGGCCTTGCCCTATCCAAAGACGGCAGAACCCTCTACGCCTCCTCCGCCGAGGCCGTGTACGCATGGACCTACGACGCGCGAGGCGGCAGTGTCAGCGGGGAACGCCGGACGCTGGTCGCCAACATGAGCAACAACGACTTGATCACGCGCACGCTGCTCGTCTCGCAGAAGCAGGACGGCGTGCTCCTGGTGTCTCGCGGCAGCGCCGAGACAGACATGGCGCAGACGACGGTTATGTCCAACGGCCTCTCGCAGATCCGTGCTTTCAACCTGTCCAACCTGACGGACGGTAGCAGCGTGTATAACTTCAATGCGGACGGCCGGGTGCTCGGCTGGGGCCTGCGCAACAGCGTGGGCGTGGCAGAGCACCCCGTCTCGGGCGGGGTTTATGCCGTCGAGAATAGTGTTGATGGGGTGACGCGCAACGGGCAGGACGTGCATGAGAATAATCCGGGGGAGGAGCTCAATTTTTTGGGGGTTTTGGGTGAGGACCAGCAGGGAGGGCCGCCGAATTTTGGATATCCGCACTGCTTTGCGGTGTGGGAGGCGCGTGAGATACCGGCCAACGACGGGCTGTCCGTGGGCAAGCAGTTTGCCATCCAGGAAGACAACGCGCTCACGGATGAGGTCTGCGCGAGCAACTTTACTGCGCCGAGGTTAACCTTCCCTGCGCACTACGCGCCGATTGATATCAAGTTTACCCCTGACGGCGCGACGGCGTATGTTTCGTTTCGCGGGAGCTGTGAGTCTTCTCCCCCTCTCCTTGACCATCCTCCCTATCGGGTAAGCAATTTATCGCTGACACATGATGCCCCTGCAAAGTCGACCGGTCCTCTCCCGTGGGGTACCGCATCGCATCCATCTCCTTCAACCCCTCGACGGGCGAGCCCGTGGCGGCCGCCGACAGCACGGATGCCCTGGCCGACGTCCTGACCAACCCGGACCTCGGCAACTGCCCGGACGGATGCTTCCGCCCTGCGGGGCTGGCTCTGGATGGGGATGGTAGGTTGTGGATGACATCCGACTCGACGGGGGAGATTTATGTCCTCCAGCGGACGGGTGATGGGGCTGGGAGGTTTGTTACACCGGGTGGTGGGAGTACTAGCGGTGCGGTTGCGAGAACGGTGGGGAGGTGGGAGAAGGAGATGGTGGCTTGGAGTCTGGTGGTTGGGATTGCGGCGTTGTTGGCTTGGTGCTAGGTGGGATTGGAAGGATGATGGATTGCATTTGGGGAGGCAGCGGTCTGTTCGCTCCATATAGTTACAGTATTCGCTTTGTTGCTCTCAGCTGTCCTGCTTTGGGTTTTCTTGTTTCTGTCTTGACCCGGCTCTGGCTACCTAGTCACAACGAAGAGAGCTGCGACCAGGGGCAAGAGAAGGGAATCGAGCCCAGGCGCCGCTCTCCGTACAATTCTTGATATGACTGTGACGCCCAGAAAATAGCCCAGTTGAAAACCAGTGTCTCATAAGCGTGATCCAAGATTCTAGACAAAATGCTTACATGCACGATGCCTCCTAGTCTCAGGGTTAATTCACTGCTTGTTAGAATGCAATGCAAATGACCCAACTCTCACCAAGACTCTGATGATGACCGCCACCCCGACCCTGACCGTACCCTCACTCACCTGCCGGTCTCCCCGCCGATCGTAAATCTCCCGTCCGACTCAACCTCTGCAGAATGACCTTGTTCATGGCCATCATGCGCGTCATCAGATCCTCCTGCCACTCCATTAGATGCCTCTGTTGCGTGAGTAGCTTCGCAATGGGCATGCTGTTGTAGCGTGACCCCCAGGCGCGGACCCTGTCGTCGAGGGTGATTGATGCTCCTGTTGTTGTCGCAGGTAATGAATGGTTATGATCAGGATCTGGGGTTGTCGCCGCGGAGTTGGAAGCTTTTTGAAGTGCTGAGACGTAGGCTGGGTGGAGAGGTGGCGCGGCAGGTGTTGTTGTTGTTGGTGTTGGTGGTGGTGGTGGTGGTAGGCCCGGTAGGGGTGCTGGGGGAGGTGAGTGCGCTGCGTGGGCTTGGTGTACTCCGGAGGTGGAGGACAGGGCGGTAGGCCTAGGGGTAACCGGGTCATGGTCCGTGGCATGGGACTGGGACTGTGACAATGACGAGTCGGCGGCGGTTCCTGTGACGGTTCCTTTAGGGGTTGCGGTTACTAGAGTCTGTTAGTTCGATGAAGCCGCAATCTTATATCTACACAATAGGTTCTTACCCTTGACCCATTTATACTCCCTCGGCGGCCTCGGCTTGAACTTGAAGCCCTTCTTGTGGCTGCACTGGGACCCCTGGCGGTTGTACCAACAATTCGCGCAGGCGCCGTTCGTCAGGCTGACGATGATCTCGTCGCGCGGCACGACACAGCCCTTGTACACGCTGTTTTTATTGACGCACCGTGTGCAGGCCTTGTTGTCTGGCAGCAGCTCGCCCGTGGCCTGCATCATGAAGGACGGCTGGTTCTGGAGCTTGTTCATGTTGAAGCGGTGCAGCTTGGTGATGACGGGGATCCGTTTCAAGGGGAGCGAGGCCAGGTGCCGCCAGACTTTGCTCCTGCGCTCGCCGACCCATTTGAACTGCGGGAACATTTCGTAGAAGAGGTGGAGGGGGGCTGATATTGATGATTAGGTCCAGGCCTTTTCATCAAGAAAAAGGATGTAAGAGACGGTTGACTCACTCCCTGGTTTGTTAAGGACGCCCTCAGTATGAGGCGTGGCTGGCCCTTCAGAGACAGGCATGTCCTCCTCGTCGTCCTCGGATTCCGAGGCAGAAGAGTCGGACGTGTCCGACGTTTTGGGCGCCTTGTTTGGATGATGGCCGTTGACTGCTGGTGACTCAGCTTTGCGTTTGGTTCCATTGCTCGCGTTGGCTCCCGACACATGGTGAGATACAGAGTTCGGTGTAATGCCAGAAGTAGAGGGCCCAAGTGTTTCGGGCTCAATCGCGAAGCGCGGTTCGCTGTCAATTGAGCCGTATTGTGAAGGGTTGTTGGGAATACTGTGCGTAGATTCGTCATCGGACGAGTACTCAGACTCGGACTCCAGAACATCGCTTGGGGAGTTCGTGACCAGAGGTGGCATCTTGGGCAGCAGAATGATGGCGACTCGGGCCGGTGAGTGTGTTGATGAAGGCCGCGTCGCTCCTTCCTGAGTCGTGACTACGAGCGAGTTATGCCCTTGTAATTTGCCTGATCATATAACAATAGCCAAAGTGTTAAGATCGATGTGATATTCGTCGAGGTTGAATAAAGATGGTTTGAGGTTTATTCGCGTTGAAATGTCTGCGGTGAGTGAAGCACAATGTGGTCGCGAATCGAAATGCATAAAATCTTGATGGGCCCATATGCAAGGGTTAGGGTATTAGCCTCGAAGCCAAGTCTGGGCTGAGGTCTGGGGCATCAATCGCAGTTTCCCTTCGATGATGAAAGCCAGAGAGCAGGTGGATGATGTGACTGAGCGAGTCATCAGAGTATTTGGGACTCATTAGGTTTTTTTGAGAGGACCGGTTTGGTAGTGAACTCTCGAACCGTTCCACCAAACCAACCTGAACCGACCCTAGCCCTTACCAGCCCTGGCCCTTACACTGTCCCCAACCCCGGAATGCTGAATGTTTTGTGTTCAAGCCGTGGGTAGGATGGAGCCCTGGATAAATCTACTGTGGTATACCTTGTTTAACCTATGCTCCTAGAGAATGGACTTGAAATCATTCAGAAAGCATCTGGCAGCTCCCCCGGTTTTCAAATCATCATGACTGTCAAGTGAGATCAGGAGATGTAAAGAAAGAGAAGTACAGCAAGAAAGCAAAAAGTTGGATAAAAAGGTGATTGATCGAGGAATCGAACCCCAAAAAGAGAGGCAGGCGTGCGAGCCTAGACAACAGTCTGGGACAGTACCACTCGTCGACCAGAGGCCGTCCAGGGGATTTTCTCTGCGCCTACGCTGGAACCGCTACGCCAAATCGCCATTGAAATGGTTCAATGACGTACCGGCTCCTGTTGCCGACCTGAAACCAAAAACTTCCCTATATAACCCCGCCCACAGACACCATACAGTCATCACCTATCTGGCCATATTTGAACTACAACCTAGCTCCATTTGTCCCATGACGGTTTAGTCTCGTACCGGCGGCCGAAGTGATCCTGCCGGGCCTGCCCTAAGTTTTCAATATCATGATCCTACAATTCTACGCTTGCCCATCTACTCGCTTCGCCAGTTGCAGTCTTCAGCCTCCCTAGACGGCACGCTCTTTTGAATGTAAACCAAGCAGAATTCAACAGTTCAAATATCCACAATACTCGCTCTGACGCTGTGCATTCCATCCTGCCATCATCAACACTCAGCCACCCGAAACATTCCCTAGTACGCCCGCAATGGCATCTTCAAGATGCTCAACCTGAGGGCCTTCTTCCTCTTTATCGCGGTCCTCGACATGCTGCACTGCCACACCCCCATCCTCGTCGTCTTCACTTTCCCCTTTTAAATACTCAACAGCTTCCTGGAACGTCAGGGGTTCTTCAAGCGGCGCCCAGCTGGCCCTGTTGCGAGGGTCTTTTCGGAAAAACATCTCAAAAAATGGAATCGCAACTCCAAATTTCAGAGTCGACCAGAGAGGTGCCAGCTTGTAGTTTCTCCTCAGAAAGTCCCATGTGTTAGGGTGCGGTGATCTTGGGCTGGATTTCGACAGTCCGGAGTCAGCCCACATAATGTCTCTTGACTCGCGCTTTGGCTGGTCAGCGGCGGCCCAACATACCTGTCATCCCAGAAAGTAAACCGGTTCGTCAAAATAATGGCCGGTTTCTCGGGAAAGTCGGCCACGACATCCATCACGGGCATGTCTGATTGCACATCCACCACGACGGACCGTCTGTCGATGGCCATGATGGCCTCACGATCAGTTACCGTGTCAATACCCCAATACATCAGCACGCGTCTCTCGCGAGGCGAGTAGGACGGGCCATGAACCATGACTCGGACGGCCGCGTGGGACTCGTTGAGGATGGCATCCCGTATTGTGAGGAGCGCGCTGCATTGCGCAAGGGCCCCCATCTCCTTGATAAGCCTGGAATAAAATCCAAAGGCGATGATCTTGTCTATTGCCGGCTTGGGGTGGACTCGTTCCAGCGTTTTGATGAGTATGTTGCAGGCTGGGCTGGCGTCCCATGCCGCCTTCTCCGAGGCGAACTCGACTGCCAAGTCATGATGCATGTGAAGGGAGTCCTCGACTGGCTGCGGGGGTTGTGGCTTGATCCACAGAGGGTAGAGAGGCCGAATTCCGATTCGCAACTTTGCGTCGTAGTCGCTCAGAGCCATCTCGCTGATGGAGCGGATGTAAATGGTAGCCGGACTGCGCGCAGCGGTTAACCGGGCTTGACTATGAGTATGAAGGTGGGAAGGGGAGCGTACCGATCCCACTTCGCGGGTACAGCAATCTTGGATGCCACACCGTTCATATTCCTGATCGTAACGCTCTTTGGCTGCGTCGAGAGCTGGTCCTAGAGCTCTTGCATTGCTTCTCTGCTGTAGACGGGTTGGCCTTTGGGATAGTACTCGTTAGATAACATCTCCACCTCGGCCTCTATGTTCTGGCTCGTGTAATTGACCAACGCTCTTTTCTTGAGTAATGCTGCGCCCTCGTCTAACGGAAAGCTGAATTTCGAATCGGAGTGGTCTGCTCGGTGGGAAGGAGGTTGCCAAGCTGGTTTTTGGAAAGGTTTTCTGGGTGGCCTGGATCGGGCTTTTCGTCGCCTCGCTGATGAAGGCATACTGATGATGATGTTGGACTTATGGATACGTCTTGTTACGGATTGTCGACTTCGTGACCCAAGGTACACTGAAAGTTCTCGACTTCGTCCCATGGCTTTTGGTCATGGCGGTCAACACTTCGCAGCGTGTCGCCTTGCCATGGATTCGGGTTCTCGATCCGTGCTAATCGGGTACAGGGCTCGCCTCAAGCTTATGGGCCTCAACCGATTGCGGCTTGGAATTGGCGCTCATAAGAGAGACCGGGCAGTTTGGCACACTGCAGGGCACTGCAGGGCACGAGGTAATTGGGATCCCGCCAAGATTGGGAATTTGTGGCAGGTGGCAGCCAACTTGTCAGACCGGTTGCTTTTCGAGATTGTTAAGTTCAATGATATTGCCTGGCAGTGCCGGTCCGTTTGGACCCTTGCTGCCTGGCCTCACCAAGTGTCTCGATGTTCACCTGAATTTCGCCAGATTAATCAAATGTTCTTGAACTGTGATCATGCTTGCACAGTAAACACTTCTTACATCGATCGATCAATAACTGCAAGCAAGACTTTACAATGTGGTCTAATATCTTATCCCGACCGGATTATCATATCCGTCCATCCAAGACTCAAAAGACCAATGTCAGCGACTCGCGTACTTTACATGTCCACTAACAGCCTGCCAATTGACCTGAGATGAGATCTCACCACCTCACGACTTGGGATACTTGACCTGACTCGCCTTGACCACCAAATCGCATATCGCTGCCACCGACCTGCCCCCCATCAACTCATATACCGCCACATCGGCCGCAAACACAGTCGCAAACCAGTTCCTGACCTCGACAGCGACCAGCGAGTCGACCCCAAACGCGTGCAGCGGTTGCCGCGCGTCCACGTCCTCGGGCTTGATCGACAGCGCACGCGCAAGCTTCTTGGCCAGGAACTCGCGCACCACGCCCGCCCTCTCCTCGGCCGTCTTGGCCCGCTCAAACAGCGCCGCGTAGTTCCTCTCGCCGCCCCCGGGCCTTGCTGAGGACGCAGCGGAGGACGAGAAGGCGCTGAACAGCGGTCGGCGCATGAAGTCGGGAGGATCGAGGCCACGGGCGAGCAGCTCGGCAGGGCTGCCGACGCCCATAATGATCTGGCTGTGTGGCGGCGGGTGAGAAGGGTCGCAGAACATGTCGAGCGCCGCGAGGATGTCGGCCTCCTCGATCTGCCCGAGGTCGCGCAGGCCGCCGGAGAGCTTTGAGCCCAGGCCTTCAGTCTCGGCTATGACGCCGATCCCGCGCACGGCGCCAAGGTCGATGGACGTGGCTTTTTGCCCGCACTGCTGGCGATGTTGGGCAAGGGCGTCTTGGAACGTGCAGCCGGCTGCGTAGCTGGCTTGGCCCGCGTTGCCGATGATTCCGGAGATGGAGGAGAGCAGGATGAAGAAGTCAAGATCGGTGGGCAGGAGGGTGTGGAGGTTCCATGAGGTCTGGACTTTGGAGCGAATGGTGCGCTGCCATTGAGCGTGCGTCATGGTTTCGAAGATGGAGTCTTGCAGTACCATGGCCGCGTTGATACAGCCTCGGATGGGATGTTTGCAGTCGCTGACCACCTGTGCAAGCTCATCAACTACCGAGACGTCGCACTTGGGCGTAGCAACGTTGACGCCTTGTCGCGTAAGCTCGTCGATGACATTGGCAGCGTCACCTGTGGATGGGACCCCTGATCTTGACGGCACGATTAAGTGTCGAGCGCCTTTCTGCGCCATCCACTTGAGGATGGATCGGCCGATGCCGCCCAAACCGCCAGCAACAAGGTATGCGGCGTTGCTGTCGAAACTCCACGACCTGCGAGGAGGAATGAGGTGTTTCTTCCATGACTGTCAGCGACGGGAACAGGATACTCAGGGGAAGGGTAGGTATGTACCTGCACCTCGTGGGCGCGATCGAGATCAATGACGACGCGCCCTGTATTCCTACCGCTTTGGAAGTATCGAAAAGCATCCACTACGGCTGATGCCGGGTAAGTGTGCACAGGACTCGGCGCAACCAGCACGCCATCCCTGACGAGGTCCATCACCTCACGCATTAGCCTCTTCCCCATGTCCGGACGAGAGGCCATGACGTGGCGGAGGTCGACGGCAGAGAAGGATACGTTCTTGGCAAACTGCGCCATATGTAAAGCCGAATTTGCTTGGATGTCGACCTTTCCAATCTCAATGAAGCGCCCGTATGGCGCAATGCATTCCCACGATTCGCGCAGGCCTTCACCGGCAAGCGAATTCAACACCACATCCACGCCGTAGCCATCTGTCAAGCGCATGACGCCCTTGGTGAAGCTCGTGTCTCTACTGTAGAGCACCCGCTCCTCCTTGACCGCATCCCCATACGTCTCCAGCAACAGCCGCTTCTTATGCTCGTACCCCACCGTCGCAAAGACCTCGGCCCCGAGGTACCTCGCGATCTGGACCGCCATCTGGCCCGTTGCACCCGCGGCAGCGTGCACAAGCACCTTCTCCCCCTTCTCTAACCGCGCCACCTTCGCCAGCGACTGCCACGCCGTGACAGCCGGGAACATGACGGCACAGGCCTCAGCAAAGCCCAGCGCATCCGGAATCTTGATAACCGCCCTCTGGTCAGCGCGAGGGAACATGCGCATGCACCCGAAAGTCAGCAAGAACACACGGTCCCCCGGCCGGAATTCCTCGCACCCTTCTCCCACCCGAGTTACGACGCCCGCGCAGTCGCCGCCCAGCCCCTCCTTGATCTCGCCCGGCAGCCGCCCCAGCGCGATGAACACGTCGCGGAAGTTGAGGCCCCACGCTTTGGCTTCGACTTCAACCTCATTCGGCCCAAGCGGGGCGGATCGATACTTGGTGTCGTCGACGTAGCTGAGCGTTTCGAGGGAACCGGGGCTTTGGACAGCGAGGCGGAGGGGCGGGCCAGGGAGCCAGCGCTCGGTTGTGACTTTTAGGGGTGCTGATGACGGATCGGTGGTGGCAAGGAGAAGCTCTTCGTCCAGGGCCGGTTCTTGGATGAGGCGGCCGACGTGGAGCAGCCCGTCGCGGACGACGTACTCGACCTCGGGCGTTGCGGCGGGGCCGAAGGCGGCGTTGAAGACGTGTGCTATGTGTCCGGCTGCTTCCTGGATTGACTCGCAAGACGTATGATCTTGGATGGATAGTGAGACAATACGGCTTCGCGCGAACTCTGCGCGGAGAGTGCGGAGGAGGCCGTCCTTGAGGCCGGAATAGGGGGATTCAGCAGGGGATGGCGAGGAAGTGACCCAAAGGAGGTTACGGGATCTCTGTGCCAGGGTCTGCAGCGACTTGAAGGTGGATTCGGGTAGTTGTGCGAGGAGTGATCCGTCAATGTCGCCGAGAAAGACCACGTCCATGCTGGAGAGGGCGTCGTTGCTCGCTAATTGCGAGATGGTGATCCTCGAAGAGTGCTCAAACGGGGCTTTGCCTGTCATGCATGACACCAGGCCCTGCTGGTAGTCACTGGGCTGGTCGTCGATCACGAACAGGGCGTTCCTTTGGTCTGCCGAGCCTGGCGATGAGGTATCATCAACCATAGCTGACGAGACGGCAACTCGGTACCCATCCTGCTGGCCTGCGCCTCGCACAACCAGATCGACACCCCAGAAGCCGCTGTCCTTCAAAAACCTATCCAGCGCAGCGTCACTCTTCACTCGCCCTGCAATCCCAGACTCCTCGTCACCACCCCACCAATCCGGCAGTACCCCCAAAGCAAACCCCTCCAGAAAGTCCAACTCAAGATCACCCCCCGCCGTATCAAATACGACCAGCTTCCCTCCCGCCTTCAACAGCCTCCGTACCCGCCCTAAAACCCCATCTCTATCGACCATCCTTGTCCCAACAAAAATCATATCAAATTCCCTTTCTTCCAACACCGCGGCATCACCAAATTCAACAAACCTCACCCGCTCGCCCACCTCCATCCCCGCCAGCCTCCGCTGCGCCATGTTCAAGAACGTCTTCGACCCGTCAGCGTCAGCATAGACGAACTCCGTAAACGCCACGCCGCCCGTGCGCTGCTCAATCTCTCCCAACACAGACAGGACGTGCTGTGCCAAGCCACCGTCGGTGCCGGTGTTGAGGGCGAGGATTTTCTGAGTCGGGGACTGGTGGGCCGAGAGGTGCAGAAGGGTGGTGAGTTCTAAGGGGAAGGGGGGGTAAGGGAGGTCAAGGTCAGGGCTGACAGTGGAGGTTGCGGGCTCCGAGGGCGAGAAGAGTGGGTGGGAGGAGGAGGGGGAGTTGATGTGAAAGAGGAGTTGGGTTGCTATGGCTGTGAGGGGAGGTGAGAGGGCCGTTAAATCAGCGAGGATTCCCTTGTTATTGTTTGGGGATTCAGTGCTGGTAGTCGAGGTGTCCTGGAGCCGGGATGCGAGCCAGGAGACGTATTTCTTCATGTGCGGAGGCGCGTCGGGCCAGCCGGTTGCTTGGAGTTGCGGGAGACAGCGCCGGACAACTCTCCGCACTGAGCACGCCAGCTTAGAGCTGTCCTGTTGACTGGGCGATGTGACGGGTGTGCCGTGGATGTACTTGAGGCAGTACTCCCGCAGCTGGGACGGACTCAGCATGGACAAGCTCGGCTTCCACTCGATGCTGGTAAGAAGCTTCCGCCGCCTGCTGTTCTCGGCACCCGACTTGTCGCTTGTGGCGATTGGGGACATCTCGAGACACTTGATGTGGCACAGCGGCAACCCCTGGTTGGAGAGCACCGTGAGGGAAGACACCAGCCCGACACCGCCGGACTGGATGGACTTTGTGCAGACCTTGAGCGGACGGGCCTGCTGCTGGTCCTGCTGCCATCCGGAGGCTGTGATCCAGACATCCTGCATCTTGTGCGGGATGCAGGTTGGCAGGGACTTGGTCATGCCCTGCGACGGAGCGGCCGAACATACCTGGAACGCGGCGTCCAGTATGGCTGGGTGGACCAAATGATGCGACGAGAGATGGCCAGACGCCGGCTGGATCTCGGCCACGCTTTGGTCTTCGCCCCAGCATACCCCCTGGGCAATGGCGAACAACTCGCCGTATTTCAAGCCGTGCTCGCTCTGCCATGCGTAAAACTCGCTTTTACCCACGGCTTTATCACAAACAGCCCTTGCCTCGTCATAGCCCCTCGTCAACAGCTCCGTCCACGCCCTCTCCTCCCGCCCGCCATCGATCTCCTTGCCAGTCGCCCCGACACTGTCCTCCAACACGGTCACCACAGTGCCCCGGAAGCACTCGTTCCAATACCCATCAACCAAAGCACAAATCACCACCTCCCACCGCCCACCCGTTCTCTCATGCGCCTGTCCTCTCCCAGTCAGGTAGGTCATCACCTCGGTGCCGTCCGTCTCCCCCCCTCCACCACCACTGGCAGTACCGGTACCCCCCTCCCCATTCTTTGCATTGCCATTCCCATTAACCACAATAGGCCTGGCAAACACCGCCTCTTTGACCACCCACCCTTTAACCTTACCTTTATTTCCCCCTTCATCATCCCCCTTCCCCTCCACCCCTGTCCCCTTCCTGTTGTCCAAGTCGAGTTGCATCTCCCGCACAGCCTCAACAGCCATGAGCACCATCCCCGCAGCAGGAACCAGCACCGACCCGCCCACAACATGGCCCGCCAGCCACGGCATGTCACGCACTCGCAGGGTTTTACGCCATGTCGGGCGGAGCGGGTTCCACTCGGCGCTGTGCGCGCCTAGGAGGGAGGTGGCCGCGGGTTGCGTGCCCGAGCGCAGGCGGAATGCGCGGCTTAGGCGGGATTCACACAGATACGTTTGGGGTTGGGAGGTGGTGGTGGTGGTGGAGGGGCGGGTGAAGGGGTAGGCGGGCAGGTCAATTCTGAAGTTGGATGTTGGGGGTAGACTGCCTGTGAGGGTTGGTGATGGGTGGTGGTTGACGACAGGGAGGGAAAGGGGGTATCCTCGGGTAAAGAGATGGCCGGCGAGGGCGAGGACTGCTTTGGTGGGAGGGTCCGGCTTTGACAGGACAGGGAGGTAGGTGAAGGGGGATTTGGCGCTAGCAGTACCACCAGCAGTGCTAGCTTGGTGGCTCAGGGTGTCAGTCACAGGCCGACGTAAGGCGCCGTGCGGACCGACTTCGAGGAAGGTGGTGATGGGTTTGATGGCGTCGGCGCGCGGGGCGGCGTGGGAGAGGTACAGCAGTGCGTCGGCGAAGCGCACTGGTGACACAAGATTGTCGACCCAGTACCTGGGCGAAGAAAGAGTGTGGCGGGAAACTTTTTGGCCTGTCACGGACGAAACCATGATGATGGAGGTGTTGTTGCGTTGGTCGAGAGAGGCCAGGCTGGCCCCGTACTCGTCGGCGATGGCCTGCATGGCTGGCGAGTGGTACGCGACACCCGTGGTCAGCTTGCGCGCGAAGATGCCGTTTGACTCCAGATGTTTCTGCAGCGCGTCGATGGCGGCTTCGTCTCCGGAGAGCGTGACGTTACCAGGGCTGTTGATGCACGCGACATGGATGTCGCCGAGCTCTGCTGGCAGGGAGGCTCTGTCCAGATACTCCTGAACCTCGCTCTCGGGGATGTTGACCGAGACCATTGCGCCCGGTTTGGTGGATGCGGCTGCCGCGCGAAGTCGTCCTGCAAGCCGCCCTCGGTGGTAGGCCACCTTGCAGGCTGAGGCAAACGAGAGAGCGCCAATGGCATATGCGGCCGCGATTTCCCCGGACGAATGCCCAACCACGGCCGTGGGGACGATGTCGAAGCTGTGGAGAAGTTCGACGAGTGCAAGCTGCAGGGCTGTGCATAGCGGTTGGCTGAGCTGGGGGTCATCGATTTTGTCTGGTTGTTGCATGGCATCTGGTCGGCGATCAGTCGCATGCACACTATACAGAGGAGCCGGTACTACATACCGAACAGCGACCAGTCGGCCCCTAGATCGCGAAATACAGTGTCTGCCTCCTCCATGGTCGATCGGAAGACGGGATACTCGACCAGCGCCATGCCCATGTTGGCATACTGTGCCCCCTGGCCGGTGAAAATGAAGGCCAAGCCAGCGTCTGCATGAGGCGACGAGCGCACAAGGGGCGGCGTTGACAGCGCGCTTGCTTTATCTTCATCGTCCGAGCGCACAACAGCAAAGGATCGCCACGTCATGATGCTCCGTCTTGCCGAGAGCGTGTAGGCGAGCTGATCTAGGGACTCGGGATCTTGCACGTGCGTCTCCAGGTACGGGACGTAGCCCTGGATAGTCCGTTTAAGGGCCTCTTCGTCCTTGGCCGACCAGACGAGGAGTCTGTACTGGCGCTTTGCAGCTGGTGCCGTGCCATTGAGCAGACTGGGACCGTTGCCGTTGGTCATGTGCATGCTCTTTCTAAGCTTTGGCGTCAGATGGATGCGTGTATGGTGGTTCCCGGACGGAAAGCCCAGTTCCCGCAGAGCATGGTACGCATCGTCCAGAATGACATGGCCGTTGGACCCGCCAAAGCCAAACGAGTTGACGGAAATCCGACGGAGCCCTTCGGACGGCCACTCGACACACCGGGTTGGAACAGCCAGCTTCATCAGCTTGGCGTCAATGTTGGGATTCCACTTCTCAAACAGGGCATTCGGCGGGATGATGCCCTTTTCGAGGATCATGATGGCCTTCAGGATGCCGGCTAGGGCGCTGGCGCCTTCGAGATGGCCAATGTTCGCCTTGACTGAGCCGACATAGAGCGGGTCGGCCCCTGAGCGGCTGCGCCGGAATACGCGGCCAAGAGCCTTTGCCTCGGTTGCGTCGCCAATTTTTGTCCCCGTGCCTAGTCGTTGTAGCTGTCAGAACCAAGCATGCTCAGGGGGTCAGGTAGTGCGTTTACCGTGAGCCTCGACATAGCGCGTCGACTCCAACCCCAGGCCGCAGCTCTTGTACACGCTCCGGATGAGCTCCTCCTGCGATGCAAGACTGGGCTGCGTAATACCCGGCGTGTGGCCGTCCTGGTTAGCGCCTGTGCCACGAATAACGGCACGAATCACGTCCCCATCCCTCACAGCATCCGCGAGCCTCTTCAAAACAAACACAACGACGCCCTCACCCCGGCCATACCCATTGGCACGGTGGTCAAAGCTGTAACAGACACTATCAGGCGACAGAAAGTTCATATTGTGCATGTGCAGCGACATTTCCGGACTCAGCATGACATTTGACCCCGTCACGAGCGCCATAGAGCTCTGCCCCGTCCGCAGTGACTGGCACGCCAAGTCCAGGGCCATCATGCTCGAGGAGCAGGCCGTGTTGACCTGGATGCTGGGGCCCTTCAGGTCAAAGTACCAGCTCAGCCGGTTGGCCAGCAGACACATAGATGCCCCCGTGGCCGTGTTAGTGGGTGCCTGCTCCGGGTCTTTGGTGACCATCTTGATGAAGTCGTCGCTCATGGACCCGGAGAATACACCTGTGGCGGTGCCTGCCACTTTGTCTACTGGAAGGCCGGCGTTTTCTAGGGCTCGGTATGCTGTCTCTAGCAGCATGCCCTGCTGCGGGTCCATGGATGAGGCTTCTTTGGAGGTTATGGAGAAAAAGGGGGCGTCAAAGATGCCGATGTCCGATTTGAGGAAGTGCGCCCCTCTGGATCGCAACTGGTTTTGTAAGTCAAGATGCTCGGCTACGTACCAGGGAGTGAGATGCTTACGAGGTTGATCTGACGCGAGTCAGGGTCGTCCGAGTAAAAGGTTTGAATGTTTGCCCGTGAGCTAGGCCACTCGGTCATGACATTTCGGCCGCTCTCCAGGATCTGCCACAGACTGGAGTCGTCCTCGGCGCCCCCTGGCAGCCGGAAGGAGAAGCCGATGATGGCAATGGGCTCCATTGCAGCGAAGTGGCTTGCTGTCGTTGATGGGAGTTGTCCTTTTGCTCAGCCCCTGGCTGAACAGGAGCAGCAACGCTGGTTCCGGTGAGGTGGTTTGTCTTGAAGCTTGGCTAACCAGTGGACCATGGTAGGTTTGAGGTCGACGACACCCCGGTACTTGAAGGCGGTACCGAGGCGTCACTCGCAGCATCACGATAACAAGCGTCTGAAAGCCTTACCCGACTAGGCAATACCACGGCCCCCAACGCGGAACAGGCACACCCGCAGCGGGTGTGGGTGGATAGCACCCACCCGTTGCCCCTAGGCAAGGCACGCTCCGCAGAACCGCCACACCAATACATGGCATGGCGGGCATGCGTGGCTGTAAGTCGCGTTCATTGGACAGGGAAGCGATCACGTATGCGGCACTTCTCTTTGGTCGCAAGCCACTAAGCACTACCAAGTCACTGTAGTACTCAAGGGACAGGCTATATTGCGACAGGCAACAGTGTTCCCTCTCTGCGGAGAATCCTTGGCTGATACTGTGTTACACCATGCCGAACCCATCAAGACCCTCGCTTCTCATCCACTCGTACACGACACTTGCCGCGTGTGTAACCTTCGCATTGGCCCGTCCCTCCTCGTTCGCCGTCACTTCCTCAACCCAAACGAAGATGGCGTCGACAAGCCCCTGGACCTGTTCGTCCGTGTTTGCCGCATGGAACGAAACCTTGATGCGGCTTTGACCAATGGGCACGACGGGGTGCTCAATGGGCCAGACGCAGTATCCCTCGGCGTGGAGGTGGAAGTACAGCCAGTACATGTACTGCGGGCGCGTCCAGACGGTCGAGATATGCGACTGAAAGGCGCGGCTGTCCCAGTCGTCGGCCAGCGGGACCGAGAGCAGGCCCCTTTCCCGGGCCGTGTGCCATGCCGGGTGAGATGTCAGCTCCTCGTAGAAGAAGCGCACCACATGCTGCACGCGCTCGCGAGCCGCCTGGCCCTGCTCGCTCTGCAGCAGCGCGTACGACGCCCGGATGGTAGCCACCAGCGGGAAGGGCGGCGCCGTGGTGAAGATGACCGAGTTGGCAAAGTTGATCAGCGCCGTCTTGATGAGCGAACTGCCGAGAACAATTGCTGATGGAGATGTCAGCGGTCAGCAGCCACTCAGCAGCCAGTCAGCTCCAACCCTCCCTCTCGACACGGGACAGAAACACCAAGAAAAACTGACCTCCACTGGCACCCATACACTTCCCAAAAGTATGCACCCTTACCGCGATCTCTTTCTCCAGCCCCAGCGCGCTGACCAACCCTTCCCCCTTCTCCCCCAACAAGCCTGTGCTATGCGCCTCGTCCACAACGAACTGCACGCTCCCTCTCAACTCTTCAGTACCACAAACCTCCCTCGCAACCTCCACCATCTCCCTCAACGGACACACATCCCCATCCATGCTATACACCGCCTCCACCGCCACCAGCACACTCCTCCTCCCCGCCCTGACCAAGCCCTGCTCCCTAACCACCCTACCCAGCACCTCCCGAAAGTCTTCCACATCACCATGCTTGAATTCAAACTTCTCCATCGCCAAACTGCGCGCAATCCCCGCATGCGTGCTGGCATGCACCAGCGCGTCGTAGAGCACCACATCCCCCGGCCGGGGTATGGCTGTCCACACGGCCACGTTTGCGTCGTACCCGGAGGAACAGAGTAAACCGGTCTCGGCGTGGTGGAAGGTTGCGATGAGTAGTTCGGTTTGGGAGAGGTAGAGGGAGTCGCCGTCGAGGAGACGGGAGCCGGTGGAGCCTATATTTATATTTACGCCGGGGGGGTTTGCGGTCGTGAGTTCGGAGAGGAAATGGTGGTAAAGTTGGCCGGTGGCGTTGAAGGAGAGGATGTCATTGGAGGCGAAGTCTATCTTCTTGCTTTGTTGAGGGTTGTTGTCTGACTCAGGGGTAAGGGATGAGGATTGCCAGTCCGGTGGGACAATGGTTCGCAGGGAGTGGGCGGCGCGCCGATCGTTGAGAGCCGCGGCGAGGTTGGCGTGGAAGGCGCCGGCAGACGGGTCCGCGGCCGGTGCGAGTCGCTGGGCGCGGATGCGCGTCGTCAGAGCCGGGGTGAGGATGTGCGAGTGCATGTGCTCTGCCGGGGGTGGACCCGGTGCCACTGGGCCGGTGGAGGAGCTGGGGTCAGACATGGGCATTTGCCGGTAGGCGGGAAGGATTCAGATCAGATTGCCAAAGTGCCGGGGCCTCTGTCAGTGTCAGGGGTATCTCCCCGGGATTTGTGGTTTGGTTTACTTTCAGGGGTGCTGAAGAGTTCCGGGCTGATGGGAGAATAGACAATACTCGTACTATGTGATAGTTTAGTAGCTCGTTAAATGCAAATAATAGTACCTAAACAATAAGATAAAAATTCCTAAAGAAATGGAGGAATAAGTCAAACAATAGCCATCTCGCAGTGTCTTTTACATGCTCTACACTGTAGCATTGGGGGCCATGCATGCGTTGCAACCCACTGATCACATCAGATCCAGGTAGCACATCATGCCGTCTCTGCAGCGAAGCTCTTGTGGGCGGGTAGCATCCGCCTTGAAATACTGTGTATGTGGTCAAAGTTGCTGTCGATTTACCAAGGAGCGATATGGGGTAGGTTGGGGGCCAGACGGGCTAGTCACGGCACGGAGTCGGCAGAATGCGGCACAGTTCATGTAGCTCAGTGCTCACCATGCATGGAACAAGAGTTTCGCACCCAAAACCTGCCGGCATCTCGCAGAATCGCTCGGAAGGTTGGACACGCAGCGGACTCGCACTTGTTGGTGGTCTCGGACTTTGTTGCCCGGTTTTCCGGCTCATCCATCCGCCCGCAAGCATCGCTACCTTGCCAACCCCTATGCCCAAATCAGTGTCGTGTACTGGCTGGTGTGGTCTGCATGCATCTCGGTGAGCGAATATTGCGTAGCAAGCATTAACCCGCTTTGAGGTTTGGTTTGGGGCAAAGATAACGACCATCAGCGGCGTGGCGGGCACATATTCCTCGCCGTAGGTAGGCCTGAATGATTCCCCACTCAACTCATGTGAAGGCCGGGGAGGGAGCTTGAACAGCCCCTCATCTTAGCACGATGTGATTGTGACGATGGTGGATGGGATGTGTCGTGAAACTCTCAACTCCCCAAGTCAGATCCTCAGGTGCACTGGATGCGGCGGCGGAACTTAGATCATGCTCCATTCACAGCGGTTCGAGTGCCAGCTCTACTAACTACACCATATTATCCGCATCCTTCCCCCGCCCATGTTCCGCAATAGACGGAAGCGGCGCTTGCGACGCCCGATCCGAGCCGGCATCAAGCACATCATAATCCCCGCGAATCGAGGACAGCATGGTGGTACTGGTAACACCCTGCGTCTTACCAAGCTCCGTCTCCTGGAGCTCGGTGATGGTCCACATGCCGCGGCGCTTGCGGGTCAAAGGGCGGGGCAGCGTCGGGGCGCGGATCGCGTCGTTGGCCTTCTTGGACCAGCGGGCGCCCGACTCGCCAAAGGACCGGATCAGGCTGACGACGGATTCGGAGAAGGGCAGACTCTTGACCACTTTGGGCATGGCCGGGAGGCCCATGATCATGAAGCCGATGCCAATCTCGGCGCTCGAGTAGAGGCCCAGGATGGGCATCCAGTACGTCAGGTCGGGCGAGTCGATCAGGGGTACGAGCGAGATTAAGCGCAGCGCGCCCATGATGCAGCATCTGAGTGACGAAAGGGGAAAGCATCAGTAAACCAGACCACTGGCAAGGTCGGATAGCTCATGCAAGAGGTAAAAAAAAAAAACTCACAAAAGCCCCACGGTGAACAGCAGCGACACGCCCAGCTTCCTGTGAAACGACACGTTCATGCGCCAGATGGCCCAGTTGGGCAGGGCTAGAATAGCCAGGTCCGAGATGAGGTTGACGATGGCGGCCGAGGCATTGTGAGCGGCAATGTCGACTTTGCAGTAGCCGCCCTCGTAGAAAATGTCCCATATCTTCTGCGAGGGGATGCACTGGAAGATCTCGGCGAACTCGCCGACCGTGTAGAAGATGACGTTGCTCCAGATGAGCGCGTGGATGGACCAGAACATAAAGTTGCGCGACGGCGAGGCGAATATGTGCAGCCAGTCGATCAGGATGGACAGCTTGAGGCACATCATCGCGGGACCGTAGAGCAGGGCGCCCAGGTGGACGTTCTAGTGCGGTGTCAGTGGAGGCCTGTGATAGAGGAGAGGACAAGCCCTGTCCATGCTGTGATACTCACATATAGCACATAGTTCATGTCGTGCAACGGAAAATTCCACTGGTGATACCCGATCCCTGGGTAGGCCGAGGCATGCCAGATGACATACTGGAAGCCGCCATATAGACCCTTTAGACGATCGGTTCGACATTAGCATCGATAACGAGTTGTCGTGAAGAAAAACGAGGAACGCATACCAGAGCGCAGACCAGAAAGGCATCGGCCAGCCCAAACCACCTCTTCGTCAGTGCTCTCGAGATGAGGCGGACCACGACCGAGAGCGTGGCAATGACGCTCCCCGTGATGATGATGGCGAACCCCAAGGTATGATTCCCGTCCGGACTGTCAAAGTTGGACACCTCGCCCGGCGGGGGAACCATGGCCGGCCCGTCCGGGTTCATGTCAGCAGGGAACCCCGAATCCATCGCGAGAGCCGGTGCGCTGTGCGAACAGGATACCACTGGAACTTGACCGATGCGATGGCGGTATAGACAAGGAAGTCAGGTTGGCCTGGCCGTGTTCGCAAGGCCCATCTGTAGGTTGGTTTAAACGTAATGTGTCGGGATTTGGGATTGGGATAACCCGACCCCAATCCCCGGGCCCCGTGGGCAGGTCATTCTAGAAGACAGGAGCCGAGACTTGGGGGCCCCTGGTGGGTGATCTGGCGCTTCTACGCCGCTATGAGGCGTGTGTGTTACAGTGTCAGTCTAGTCCTTGTGCCACCCGGATAAGATGCAGCTGAGTGGTGCGAGTCCTGGGACATATATTGTCTGACTTCCCCTACATACTACAGGCCGCTCTGAACCTACCTATGTAGACAGCAAGCGACAGTGTGTACTGCACTGTACAGTACATCCATACATCCGGTGCGCATACGCTGGCAGTACAGCACCGGCTTGGGGTCGCTGCCATGTGCGGCGCAGGCTAACAGTAGCCTGAGCCGCCAAGGGGCAATTGGCGCGTAGAATTCTCGCCTTCTTGGCCTGCCGCTCGGTTAGCAACTCGGAACTTCAAATAACTTAGCCGCCAATCGATGGCAGCCTTCAGTTTGTTTTTGTTTTAGTCCGGCGACTAGAAAATTTCAAGGCTGGACTTACCTAGTACGCACCTCCATTTCAACCTGATCCGTTCAAGCTACGCCACAACCAGCCCGGTTGGAACTCGAATCAATGGAGGCCCAGCAGCAGCAGAACCAGGAGAAGCAGCAAACCCCCCAACCCCAATACCAAATCACATGCAAGGGGAAAGGTGAACATCCATACCTGATGAATATCATGCCCCAAGACCGACCATCGACCTAACAAGACACACAGAATATCTCGACCGCACCGCCCAGGTTCTCACCGACGCCTTCCTGGGTGACCCGGTCTACACCTGGCTGCTGTGCGATTTCCCGCTCGAGGACCAAAAACCGGTCCTCTACAAGCTGCTGCGCTCCTTTTTCACGGCGGGCTCGCTCAACCATGGCATGTTCATCGAGGTCGACAACTTTGGCAGCTGCGGGCTGCTCATGCCGCCGGGATGCAAGGTCGACAACCCGTTGACGCTGATCCCGGCCGGTCTGATCTCGGCCTTGTTCACGATTGGGATTGGCGGGTGCAAGGTGAGCGATCCCGTACATACCTTTTGCCCAGGACTCATGCTCAATGTCAACAGCGCGCCGTATTTGAATACGGCACGGCCACGCACGCCATGATGCCCAAGGTCCTCACAAAAGCCGAGCAGGACAAGCACTGGTACGTCTTCATCATGGGCACCGCCGTCGACCGGCGGAAGCAGGGACTTGCCGGCGCCCTGCTGCGCTACATGCAGGACTGCGCGCGGAGCGACGGCCGCGTGCTCTGGCTCGAGGCAACGACCGAGTATTCGCGCGACCTGTACAGCAAGCACGGCTTTACTACGGTCGGCGAGGTCGTGCTAGGCAAGGGACAGGTCGGGCCGGGAGGGCTGCCGAAGAAGGGCGGCGAGGGCGTCACCATTTGGAGCATGTATTGGCGGCCTTGAGCGGCAGAGCGTAGCCCTGACGCCTGAAAGACGAAGGAACGGACGGATGATCCAAGGGTACCTGACTGAGCCCGGGTTACGTAGCCCGTGTGGTGGATGTAACTTGGGGGCCAAGTTCTCATTTGTCCGGTCGGACCATGTTCTCGAGTTCTCATGCTACCGACAGTCAGCAGTCAGCATGGACTCACTTTATAATGGCTCTACGGCTTGCACGCCGCAACTGTAATCTATTGTGCTTTCGGTTTGGTTCTTTTTGAGGTTGCTTTTGCTCCTTGGTGTATCCAGAGGCAGCCATGGGGAATCTAATATCCAAGAATGAGTTCCCCGTCAAGGATCGAGTAAAATGCTCACCGAATTTCGCCGCAATGATGCCATCCTGCTCACCACCTGACCCCAGGTTGTCCTGATCACCGGCGGCTCGCGCGGCACCGGCCTCGAAGGCGGCCGGCAGCTCGCTGCCAAGGGCGCACACGTGGTGATCGTCGCGCGCGACATCAAGCGCCTCGAGGAGGGCCACGCCTACATCCGCGACGGCGCCCTCTCGCCGCAGACGCAGCGCTTCCACCACATCTCGGCCGACCTCACGGACGCGTCCGAATGCCAGCGCGTCATCCGCGAGACCACGGCCTGGAACAACGGCGCCCCGCCCGACATCGTCTGGTGCTGCCATGGCAGCGCCCACCCGACGCTGCTCGCCGACACGCCCACGGAGCAATTCCGCGCCCAGATGGACCAGAACTACTTTTCCTCGGCCTACATCGCCCAAGCCGCCCTGCAGGCTTGGCTGCCGCACAAACAGCCACAACAACAGCAACTCTCCAAGCCACCAATGCCCAACACCCCACTCCCCGCGCGGCACCTCATCTTCACCGCATCCTTCGTCGCGCTGTTCCCACTGGCAGGGTACTCCCCTTACTCCCCCTCCAAAGCCGCCCTTCGCTCACTCTCCGACTCCTTGTCAATGGAATGCGAGCTGTACGCTGCCGCACACCCTCACGAACCACGCATCCGTGTGCACACCCTGTTCCCCGCCACCATCCTCACCGAGGGGTACGAGGCCGAGAACCGCATCAAGACCGACCTGACCCGGAAGCTCGAGGAGGCCGACGCGGGTCAAACCCCTGCTGAGCTCGCACGCAAAGCCATTGCGGGGCTTGAGGCTGGGCAGGAGCTGGTTGCGACTGATTTCTTGACGGGACTGGTGATGACTACCGTTATGGGTGGGAGTGTGAGGGGTGGGTTTCGGAGGGGGCTTGGCACGTGGCTGGTCGGGTGTGTGGCTGGGATAGTGATGGTGGTTGTCAGGGCGAGCATGGATCGCGATGTCAGGCGCTGGGGTAGGGAGCATGGGCCGAGTGGCATGAGGAGGGCGGTTGATTGACGGACTGGTGAAAGTTGTCAAAATGATGCGCTGCCCTGTGGTGGCATTTTGCTGGGTTGAAACGAAGTGGCGTCCGAAGTAAGTCAAATTGGGTCTGACGTTCCAACTTCTTAAGTTCTTGCACCGATAACGGACACTTCTAAGTTTCCAAGTGGCAAGAAGTGCAAGCTTTTGTTTGCACGAAGCTCGTTTTTGTTGTACAACTTCCGACCCGATAAATAAGGTAGTTCCTTCGTTGTCTGCAGGTTTCGATCGCATACCTTGGCAAGTGCTAGCGCCCGTATTTATTTAGACCTCCGAAGCTGCGCTGCTGCGGGGAAGAGCTGCCTGTCAGGTGTGTCAAATTTAGGGCGTTACTGTTAGTAGTTTGTCAGGCTTTCAAGACAGATGGCAGGTGCCAGGTGCAGTGAAGATCAAACTTCGAAACTTCAATCGCAGGAGTCAAAGTAGGCGCTTTCATTCAACTTACCCACCATCCACAATGGCCCGGAACGTCTACACTCAAGATCAGCTCAAACGCTATCTCGAGCACATCCAATTCCCAGGAGATCATGACTCTGTCCTCCGAGATGCATCCAACGACCCCCTCGGCCTCCTCACAAAGCTTCAGATACACCACATGAGCCACGTTCCGTTTGAAAGCCTGTCGCTACACTACTCGCGGTGTCGGCTCTTGTCGCTCGATCCGGAAGATTTGTTCGTCAAGATCGTTGAAAAGGGCAGAGGCGGGTATTGCATGGAGGTCAACAGATTTTTTGCCACGGTACTGCGAACTCTCGGTTACACCCTCATCAGTGCCGGTGGCAGAGTCAGGGGACAGGCTGGATACAACGGATGGTGAGTCGCTTCTTCATCAAGAAACTATCATTCCTGCCCTAGATCGCTCACGGCCGCGCACTGTGCAGGGACCATATGGTCAACCTCGTCACCATCGGCCAGAAGCGCTACCTGGTCGATGTTGGCTTCGGGTCCAACGACCCTCCCTATCCGGTCCCGCTTGAACACGACTACGAGTTCGTAGGAGTGGCACCTTTCCGCGGCCGGCTGCAGTACCGTAGCCTGGACGAGCACTCCGATCCCAGTCAGAGGGTCTGGGTGTACTCGGGCCAGGACGACGAGAGCTCGCCATGGAGGGATCTGTATGCCTTTGTCGAACTCGAGTTTCTGCCTGGTGACTTTGAGGTCATGAATCTCAAGACCATGACGACGCCACAGAGCTTCTTTGTGCAGAGCGTCATGTGCATGTGCACAGTTCTGAATTCAGAGAAGACGAGGCCGGTTGGTCTCCTCATTTTGCACAGGGACTATGTCAAGAAGCGCATGGGAGACAAGTCCGAGATTATAGAAACACTTGGGTCGGAGGATCAGAGGGTTCATGCATTGGAGAAGTACTTCGGAATTGTCCTCGCTCCAGACGAGCGAAAGGCAATTCAGGGGCTTGCGAGCGAACTGCGGCCAAGGGCCAAACGCGACCATGCATAAACCGACAAGATGGATGCCTTATTAATGTCAATTGTCAACCAGTCAAGCCGCCTGGCACAACACACACGGATGCGAAAGTAGCCAACCACTGCGCTCAATGTCAAGCCTCACAGCCTCATCACACCCATCGGGCGGGGTTGGGCTGATAACTCAGAGTCCTTGTCATCCATATCGCCTTGACTTTTGTCTCCCCTCATCTTCTGCCCATTGTCTGATCGGAAGGGCATTAAAACTGTTTCATCGTCTGTTGCTGCTCTCAGTCTGAACTATCAACTTTGAGTATGGGTGACTCCAGTTTGCAGGTCGCAAAGCTTGAGCTGGCGGCGAGGAGTCTTGACCTAACCACGGCGTTGTCGAGAGCAGCATCATCATCCAACTTTCTTCTAAAGGGCGCCTGGGAGATTGGCCAGTGGCTCGGGCGTGAAAAACTGAACCAACATGAACTCCTTGACTTCATGGAAAAGGCTAAAAGCCTCGCGTATGCGAACAAAAACGGCCTTGAGTTCTTCGACCAAGTCATTTGTGGCACCGATACCGTCCCTGTTGGGCCCCTATTTCTGCAGCAATCGGGATCACTCGGTCGACTCATGGCAGGTGACCCAAACCTGAGCTGGATAGTATCCACCGTGGCAGGCCTTTTTCAGCATCACAGGGATGACCAGCTAGTGACGAGCAAGTTAACCGAGCTGATCATGGAAGCCTACCGACCCCAAGAGGACCCAGACGCGAGGCTGGGCCTCGCCTCCGAGATGCGGTATAGTCCCGAGCGCGCCAGACTGCGGGCCGTTGCGAGGAAGATCGTCTCGAGCGTGTGGTATAACGTCGTTAACGCCGGCTGTGATACAATTCCGTTGCCCCAAGAGCTTTTGAACCTGTGCCCAAGGGGACACTACCTGGCCCCTGAGGACTTTGGCCAGGTCGTCAGTACTATTACCAACCGGTGCAGGTCAAAAGCCATCTTGCGAACCGACCATCTCTTGCTGGATGTTCTTCAGTGGCTCCTCCTCCATTATGACGGGACCATCGTCGTCAACGTAGCAGGGGAGATTGTCTACCATGTCGATCTTGGGACCAGCCGTCACCGGGAGCTGGAAGTGCGTGTTTCATCGCGATGCTCGGTTCACGAGAGCGACATGGACCGTTGCACCGGCAGGAACCAGTGGCAGATCCTCGACCATATTTCCGGCAAGTTTGAGGACTTGCTCCGCGCTGGTGATTCGGCACCCCAGTTCAACGACGTGCCCTCATGGCCGGGAACCCGGCAGAAGCTATACGACATTCCTCGTCCATACCACGCTGACAGTGTCATGTGGAACAAGACCTTGCAGATTGCGGTGAAGTGCTCTGCCCAATCGGTTCTGCGATGGTTGCTCGCAGTCCCGCTATCGGCCCAGTCAGACTTTGAAGGCCCGGGGTTCAGCGCCAGACCGGGCCAGCGCGCGGGCCCACATGACACGACGGTCTCTCTGATTCTCAAGAGAATTCCGGCAATGGTTAACATGCAATGGGGGTCCTGTTCTTTCGTTATAGATACCTCCGTCACTGGCGGTGCCGTCAACGAGACACCCTCGAATATGTCCACGGAGCAGCGCTTGCACATCCTCCTCGAATACTTTCCAGTTTTGGCTGACATCCAGAGGAAATTCAAGGCCGACTGTCGGTGCCCGGGATGCTCTGAAAATGGATTGAACATCGCTGCCCTCCAGCCTGGCTGCTTGAGGCGTACCGCGGTGGAAGAAGCGCTTATGCTCTTAGCCCACGGCATCGCTGATGGTTTCGGAGTCAACGACGTCTCATCGGTTTCCGAAACGGGGCCAATAGTCGACGCAATAGCAGTACTACTCGTGGAACTGGTAGTAGAGCGGAAGGTGTGCTGGGACACGTGGTTCACGGTAGCTTCATGTGTTTACCTCGGCTGTCCCTTCGAAAAACTCATTGAGCCGTCGCATCTTGAAGGAACCTCGGTGGCGGCCATCCAGTTCGGAAACCTGGCGACGTCGGCCCCGTGGCTAGACTTCACCCGTGAGATCGCAGTAAAAGGATGCTTCGGCCTGATTGGATCCAAGGGCCGGCTGGGGGTCGTGCCGAACAGCGACGGCCAACAGATGGGGTTTCGGGCCATCGAGGAGAACTTTGCCAGCATCAGAACCGAAAGTACTGAGGACACGATTTCTTTCTGTCTCCGCTTCCGGAAGGAACACTCAGCGCTTGATCATGACTTTCGTCTTTGCGAAGACGAGTCGGCCGTGGAGAGTGATGTGATTCTCTACCCAGAAGACGACAAAGTGTACCGGCTTCTGCTCCGCATCAAAACAAAGACACACTGGCGAGTCGTAGACCCCAGCGACGCGTTCAGCGCAGTGATTCGGATGCTTCCCCCGGCCCCCAGCTGTGAACATCACCATTGTGAACATGAAGTTCAACCCGCAATCGGTTTAGTGATGCCTCTCTTGACCGCCAAGATCTACACCATGGACGAGCTCCTTGGGAGATGGCCAGACAACACCACCCGGAGTTATGATTATACACCAGGAGCAAGTGGGCACAACGACAGCGCGGCGAATTCTGGAACATTTTACATTACCAACCTCCTAGACACACATCTGAAGAAGAACGTCGCCCTGGCTCTTTCCGTCAACACAGTAGCAGTGCTAAACTATCCCGAACTCACATGCTTGCCATGCATGCTCTATCATGCGAGAAATTCGCACAGAAAGCAACTGCGCGATGTCGGGCATGTCCCTCCCGCGGATCGCCACATCATCAACATCAGGACTCATCTAGCAGAGCAGCGTAGCACATTGCAGCTTCCTTCATCGGTCAGTCGGGCTGAATTCACCCATCCACCTGTCGATTGATGGCGAGCTCCATCCAAATGGTTCCGAGCAACGAGCCCCTTGTCCGAATACCTAGGACCTTGATCAGAGGTATATTGTCTTGTGTTGATGTTTCTTTTTACTTTTCGGAAAGATCACCTCGCTAGTCATCCCCAGCGTTAGCTACTATATAAGGACGCAGTGCTCCAATGAGCGTTACAAACTGTCTGGTGCTCTGGGGCCGTCTGTTCGAAGCCTCGGTCAGGGGCAGGTTGGCCGCTTTCCGTTTCATGTTTTCATTTTGGAATTCTTGATCAACCTGGCAGCACAAACCTTACACGCTACCTATACAAGAATAGGGAGTCAATTCCGGTTTCGAATCAATTCCAATGCGTGCTGTTCTGCTCATCCAAGGCGTTGTCAGTCAGCCTAGAATCCTGCCCAATCCGCTAAAAGGGGCTGAGCATGCATGTCACGGCGCCATGTGGCTGTTCAAGCCCACACCATGAAAATTTGGCCCCCATTCGAGAAACTCCAAGCTTCTTTGGTCAGCTAGGAGGCCTACGATACGGCACATATATAGGAGCTGTATGATGCATCCAAGTTGTGATGCTTGGTGTTCACCCCTCATCTTCAGGTGCAGGTAGCAAACAAATAGTTACCTTAGTTCTAGATTCTCTCCAGCTCCTCCTCAGACAATCGACTCAGTCCGCAATTCAATCTACCCGAAAGCTTTTTCTTCAGGTGCTACACCATGTCACGATATCAGACGCGGTCCAAGACGGGGGCCTCTAAATCAGAAAATGAGGCGTGCAGAGAAACCGACGAGCTAACACCGTCCATGCTGGTCCATGATCAGGCCAACAATGGATCCTCCCACGCAGATCGCGACTTCAAGCAATTCTGCCGCCTTCCCGCAGATCTCCGACTCCAAATTTGGCGAACCGCGGCGTCTTTGCCCTCGTCAACACCAGGCGTCTGCTATTTCCACTCAACCGGCATCATCTCAGGCAACGGGTCCACCCCATCGAGGTGTACATACGACCCCCTGATCGTCCACGAACCCGTCAACCGCGCCCTCCTGGCGACCAACACCGAGGCCTACGACGTGGCAATGGAGGCGTCGCGGCGCGCAGCAACACGCCCCTACGACCCGGCCATTGACATCCTGTTCATTACAGACTGGGCCAGCTTCGAGCACTTCACGGGCACGGTCTGCGGATTTAACGGGGAGGAATGGATCGAGCGCATCCAGCACCTTGCGCTGCCGCTCAACCGCGCCGACGCGGGGCTGTGGCTGCCCATCGCCATGTCTCGGCTGAGATCGCTCAAGACACTGTCGGTCGTGTACCCGGCGGCGACGGGCCGGTTCAACTTTTCCGCGTCCGTTCCCTTGCCCAAAGACAGGAGCACGCCGCTGCGGCTTATGACGGAGGCGGAGCGCAAGGGGGTGGTCATCGCGGCCGACTACATGTACGGGACGCCGTTTGGGGAGTTTCCGGTCCAGTGGGAAAGTGACGTGGACCAGCATCTGGAAATGATTGAGGAGAACCTGTTGCGAGACACACGACCTAGCGGCCACGACGAGGATGATGAGATGTTTGGGAGGAAACCGCCGATATGGGATCACAAAGCTGAGCGGCTGGCGCTGACGTACCAGGCGAGAGTGTTTGAGCCGGTGAAGCTGAGGGTAAAGAACTTTAGGGACAAGACTCGGGATGTAGTGGGTTAGTTTCTACATGTGAGTTGTAGGGAAAGCTGTGGATGGTTTCATATAAGTATTTGTGGTACTTTACCGTACTTATATATATGGCTCATGGGAAACTATTCTTGGTTCTCTCAGTTAGGTGTCAGAACCTGACCAGCGTTTTTGTCAGTACACATCATGGATACATAATCTTTTGGCTTCGGCTCTTGCAGCATCGTCCCTTCATCACGTACCTGAAAAGAACACTGCAGCGACTCATCCACCTCCATGACAGCGCCCAGGTTGTCAAACTCATCCATGTAATTCGGCGATGTAAACAATTTGACGAGCTTGCGCCCGGCGCAAAACTCGTAATCATGATCGAGTGCATCTCCAGAAACACAGATCAAGTCGAGATTATGCTGGTCCACAAACCGAGCAATAACATCGGGGCCAAACGAAAAGGAGACTCCCTCCTCCGATTCAACCCATGAGGAAACGTCCTCTTTCGCAGTGGCCCAGAGCAAGTCGCAGGCGAGTCCGCTGTCGGGGATCTTTTTGATGGGGGTACTCGATGTTAGTGCCCAGCACTTGTATAATTGGAGGCATATGGCTGAACTCGAAACTCACCACTAGTGGTCGCCAGAGACGCCGTATTAGTTCCAGATGATGGAGATCCGGACTCAAGCCCCTTGGGACTGCCAGGATTCTCTCCCCGATAATGGCTGCAACAGGTAGGCAGTCGAAGCATTTGTTGAACAGTTTCCATACGCCGGCATCCAGTTCTGCCCGCTTGCATTCATCATGAAGGCCACATATTCTACTTAGCTCGCGCGTTTCGTGTCTTCCTCGTAACAGGAATACATGCTCGGGATACTTAATCTTGAGACCCAAGAGGAGGCATATCGTCTCGATAGATCGCCAGTTGTAGACATAGTTGCCGAGAAACAGATAGCTGCTCACAGGAGGCAGACCGTGCAGGGTAAATAGTCGTACAAGTGCGGGAAAGTTGGCGCGAAGATCACCGCATACCTAGGAAGTATCCAAAGGCTGTCAGCACAGGAAGAGTCAAGAGAGAAGTACCCTAACCGCCGACCACCGGTATACTATAATAACTATACCTTGATTGGTGCGGTCAACTCCAATGGCGAAGGCTGCGAGAGGAGGACCTTTCGAGCTTCGATACAGAGATAGCGAATTTCTTCGGCCGAAGGCAGGAATCTCGGTTTAACTCTGTGCTTTCCGGCTTGTAGTAGACGGCTGATAAGGTTGTCAAGATCACAAGCAGGAGATGTCGAGCAGGAAGTCGCTGCTGCGTTGGTATTGTGTTGGATTTGCGTACTAGTATGCCGAAAGACTGCCCTTTCATCTTGACGGGATTCTGTCATGGAGTTTCGCCGATTGTCTGCCTGGATATTCTGGTGTCCTAGAAGGATGGCAACGCAGTCCTTTCGTGAACTATGCTGTGCGCACGACAGGGGCGTGAGTCCGCCTTGCGAGGCTGCGTTGACATCAGCAGCGCCATGTCTCAACAGTGCTTCCAGCACCGGTTTATGGCCTCCGTACGCCGCGCTCAGAAGCGGTGTCCAGTTGTCTTGGTCTCTGCAGTCCGCGTCGATATCGCATCTTGTTGCGAGCAACTGCTCAACCACCGTTGCATGGCCATATTCGGCGGCCAGGGCCAGCGGTGTTCTCCCGTACATGTCCCTAGACTCGACGTCGACCCGGGTATTCTGCAAAAGAAGAGTAACAGTGGTGGTGTTGCCCCTGGATGCCGCTGCCGCGAGCGGAGTCTGACCGTAGATGTCTTTTGCATTTTCTCCAACAGCCTCGATCTCCAGCAAGATGCGTGCAATTTCATGGTGATCCTGCTCGCCCGCATACCATAGCGCAGTCCTCCCCTCCATATCGGAAACGCCGGGGTCTAAGGCGCTCTGGCCGAGCAGGAGCTCTACCATCTCCTTGAATCCTCCCCTAGCCGCCAGGTGCAACGGAGTTTGGCCAGCCCAAGTGTCGGCGGCATTGGTGTCAACTCGGCCGTGGTTGAGGAGCTCTTTTGCCGCCGCTGTCGAATCCTCTTGGGCAGCCCACCACAGGGGTGTCCGACCGCCGGCATCTCTTGCGTCGGCGTAGGCATCATGGTGCAGGAGCAGCCCTACCACCGTTTGATGCCCACCACTGGCAGCATATGACAGCGGCCCCCTGCCTGAGCGGTCTGGGGCATCTATCTCAACATTGTGGCCCAGCAACAATGAAATAACCGCGTCATGTCCATGCTCGGCCGCGAAAGAGAGGGGAGTTCTTCCGTTGCGGTCCGCCACGTCCAGGGTAGCGGTTCCTTGCCGCGTTGTGACCTGGTCCATGATGAAATTCAAGCCGAACGCAGCCATGACGTGAATGTTTAAATTTGTGGCGCCTGGATCAAGACCGCGACGAGAACGCGCCATCCATCCCGCACCGCTGTCTCGGAAAGCCGCCTGCACGCTGAAGGATACCAACGGGGAGTTCAACAGAAGGCGCAGGGCTAAACCAGAGATTGGCTCTTGCGTCGACCGGGCATGGACGCCCCAGTACCGGGCCGCGTAACCCAGAAACGGGTATAGCTTCATTGGGAGTTCACCCGATGTGCCAGTCTGGTCTGCGAAGCAGTCGAAGGAGAGATAGGTGAGACACACGGACGCAAAATATTCTTCCTGTACCACCCCAACCCAGATCGGCCTTACGCGTTGAAAATATTCCTGGGCGGTATAATGGACGAGACGGATCACGTCGCTTTCTTGGTCGATTGTGACCAGGCCGGTGCAGACCAAAACAATATCCTCTGCATCGACGATGTCATCCATGTTGAGCTCTCCCTCGCCTGCGACAACCGAAAGCGCGTGGCGGAGTTCCCCTGTCGTCAACGGCCTCTGAGCAGACACGATCCAGCCTATAGCCCTCTTCGCCAGAGATCTGTCTTCTGGCGGTTGGGAATCGAGTCTCTCAATAGCCTGGCTGTATGCTTCATCGATGGACTGGGAGGTCTGTGATAGTTTGTCTAGAGTTGCCAGAACCTTTGCCTTTGTTCGTTTATCAAGCAGCAAATCCGTATAAAGTCGGGCGAGGAGAAACCTTGAGAGTAATCATGTATGTCAGTACACGAGAACCTTCCAATCACATGCCATGCGTGAAAAGAGCTCACATGCCGCCCACCGTTGCCACAATCTTTTCCACCACCAGCTGTTGGAGCTCAGGGTCTTTCTGGATGCACCTTGGGAACCGGTGCATCTGGCAGTTCACAAAGCGTCGGACGTCAGTGTCTTTTGCACTGATCTCCAGCCTGGGATCTGTTGTAAAGTGGTCCTCAATCTCCGGAATGGACCGCGATGTGCATAAAAGACACAATTTGCCTTCTCGTTGCAGATGTCGAAGAGCCCCCAGAAGTGAGGGGACGACGCCCTCACTGTTGGAACACTCATCTAAAGCATCAATGACAATGTAAGTGGCCGCGGACTCCGTCACCATGAAGCGGAGCTCTTTGAGTATGTCATCAAGTGACAGGTTTGACGATGTCTTGTACTGCCGGAGTAAGGATTCGGTAACCGCTGAGCGGAATCGCAAGAGCTGCTTTAGGATGGACCCAAGAAAACTGACAGTCGACTGGCTGCTCTGTGATTTGTAGTTGCAATACACGTATGCTACCCCAGCTGAGCGAGCCTGGGCCGTCTTCAAGAGATAGTCGACTGCGATGGCCGCGATTGCTGTTTTCCCTGCCCCGGGGATGCCGGGACAAAAGAGCGTGCTACTGGAGCCTGCTTCCAACCATTCGGTGAACTCCGGGGATTGGAGAAACCACAGTCCGGATCCTTGTGGTAGCTTGGCCAGTATATCGGACTGCTGCACCGCGTAGTCGGGAAACGACATCCACGCCAGGACGGCGTCCCGAAGCTGGTTTTGGTCGATCTCATCCACCTTGGACTGCAGAGCGGGTAGTGAGTTCTTGATGGAGAAGGTATCGTTCAAAATAAGCCTATTACTGCTGACGATGTCGTCCGCGGTTCGCTTAATGGCTCGTGACAATTTCCTGAAATCAATGTTAGAGCACAACAGAATACGAACAACAAACAACGAAACGGAAAGTTAAAGAAAAAGATCAAAAAAAGGAGGAAGAGGAAGAGGAAGAGGAATAGG